ACTTGGAACATTCAAAAGGAAACAGTCAGTCGCCATTGGCTTTAGCACCAAAACTTCTCAGTTGAAAAGTTTTGCGCAGTTTGGGGCGAATAATGTGCAAGAAGGTGAAGTTACAAGTAAATGGCGAACTTCGTGGTCGTAAACTTCAAAAATTGAGCGAAGGGGCATGACTCGAGCGAATTGCAATTTACAGGCCAGCTATTAATTTCAACTTGACTTCAAATGATAGGTAAAGCGGCATTACGTTGAAGTCATTAATATTTGTTAGACAAAATGCGTTGCGGTAAAAATAACACTCACCATAAAGATTATAAAGATTATAAAAAGTCATAAAAGCAAATGTGAGCTTACCACGAAGCCAAGTGCCTAGTCACGAGTCACGGGCCGAGGCGCCAAAGAAAAGTAGTAGATGGGAAACATTTTGTCATAGCTGGCAAGTTACAGCGACTAGAGCTGCAAGGACTACGCGAACTTGCTGAATCTGCTGCCAGTTAAGGATTAAAATATGCGCCTCGAGCGTAACATTTTGTCGCACTTGGCTGCTCAGAATGGCGCCTCCTCGACTGAAGGCTCGTGTTCATTATACACATAAAACGTCCCCCAAAACGCCCAGGACGGAAAGTTGCAGGCGAGCTCCCGACTGCGACAGTTTCAGAAATATTTTTGGCGCATGTTCCACGCGGATTTTCCAGCATGAAAAATGAAATTATGGAAAAAAGGAAGATGTCAGCATAGTGACAAAATATAAGGCAAGCGACTACCAGGGCCCGGTTATTCAGACTCCAGTTGATGACTTGCAGCTGCCGCATTCTTTCTTGACAAGCCTCCTGCAGCGGCGGAAGTTATGCCAAGTTATGAGTGTGTGTGTGTCTCTGGGTGTGTGTGTGTGTGTGTGTGTGTGTTGTTGGAGGAAAACTTAATTTTGCGACATGTTTTGGTAACTTTTATTGCAGCAAGTCACGGCAAATGTTGACTTTGGTTGCACATTGTGCGCTTTAATGTACAGTAGTTTATTAAAAGATTTAAGGTCTGCGGTTTTATTTTGTTTACAGAAGAAAGCTCTAACTTGCCAGCCCCGCGAATTATGTGGATTATGCAAAAGTACTAATAAGCCACAAGTTTCTCTGAACTGTAAGCTCTAGCTGTTATACTTCGCTAAACAAATAGACAATAATTGGAACACAGTTTAATCAACTCTTAAAATAATGACTACATCTAAGAACATCTTGCTAAAACATATGTTTTCTTAATCGATTTTGTAAAAGTAATTTAACATTTAAAAATGCTTTTAAAATACAAATGAAATACATTTTACTGTGCATTCATATTTTCCAGTTACTCTTACTGGCTTACTACATTTTCCGATTTGGCAACAATTTTATATTGCTATTTGCGTCCGCTTTTTATAAATTCAATTCGCAACAACAAAATCCGATTTTGGTTGCAACAACATCTTAGTCCAGTTGGCAGTATTTTCGTTTCCATTTGGATTATCCGCTTTTCGAGCTTGTGCGATTGTTTGTGTGTTTGTTGCATTTATTTTTTATCCGATACCCTACATTTGTTGTGCCCCTCTTTTATTGCGAACTCATTGAGGAGCCATTCATAAACTAAGCGCATAAATCATTTAGGACAGATGGCAGCAACTTAACCAGCCAATTGCCAAATGGCGGCATAAAATAAAGAGCCAGCGATATGACAAGCTAAAATGCTTTAGCTCCGAGGATTACGCCATAGTCGTGCGATATCCTCCCACTTAGAACTGTGTTGGAGAATAAAGGATCCATAAAAAACACAGCTAAAGGCACCTTGGGGAGATATTAAGACAATTGTCGATGCGTCGTGCTGTCGGGCCATGCCGAAACGAACGAGTAAAACGGGTTGCTATTGTCCCTGTTGTTGTTGTCTTCGTTGTTGTTGTTGTTGTCGTCGTTGCTGCAACTGCTATATCTATTCCTGCATGTCTGCTGACTAATTGGCCTGCTGGAAGCGAATGTTGTCAGAGGGCCTGTGGCAAAGTTTGAACGAATTGGGCTTCAAGTTACGGCGTCTAAATGCAAACTGTAGCTTACTAAGAATTCGATTTAAGTTTTTCATTAATTTATGTGCTGTGTTTCGAATAGTTATACAAAACGTGCTAAAGTAAATACCATTGTTTTGCTTTTAAATATAATTGCTGATATAAATGGCTTAGTGGTTTCTCGTAACTTTTTATAAGAACAACTGTTTAATTCCTTCTTCAATGAAATCAGCACTTTGCACAATCTTCAGAAATCTCTTTAAAACATTAGTTTGTGTTTTCGTTTTAGTCTCAAGACTAACAGCCCAACTATCGACAGACAAAAACATTACAACATATCTCATATCTTTGTATGCGTATTTATTTAAGAAACCATCTTATTTGAATGCTAAGAAACCAAAGAATGGCAGCAAATCCCCTGACATTATTTTGCTCAGACTTTGAAAAAATCATATTTCTGATTCCTCCAACTAATCCAGTATCCTGCATACATTCTAATGAGCCATTTCATTTGAGCTGCACTGAAAAACTTATGCCATTTCCACAGGTGCACGTCGTTGCAAACTTTCACTGCCAGTGAAGAGAACTTCAATTTGATTAAGCACAAGGACGAGGAAAGCAGACATAGGAGCAGGCGCAGGAGTGAACGCACCACCCCCAGTGTGTCAAGGCTGTAAGTCAAGAGGCTTGTTAGCTCAGAAATTGAGCGTGTCACGCAATTAAACAAACTTAAATTGCTTGCCATAAATGCAGAATAGACTTAAAGAAGTGCAATCTTGGTGAGCACTAAGAGGATAAAAGATATACGATATAACTAAGCCGCTTCAATTTAACTTGCACTTAAAGCAACGCACAACTCCTTGAGCAATTTGTGCCGCGCTGTAAAAATGCTGAGCACAAAATGCGCAACTGTCGTAAAGATTATAAAAACTCATAAAAGAAAATATGAGCCCGAAACACTACCACCACCACGATATAATGCGATAGTCGGCTCAGCGAAATGCAAACTCATGCGAAAAAAAGTAGCAAAAAGCCGTCAGTTGATGTCTGCGCCAGCATCAGCGTAAAATATTTTTCATAGCCTTAAGCTGCCAGTTGGCTAAAAAGCTGTTGCCTGCTGGGGCCGCCAACCTTACAAATACAGGATACAGACAGCATTTTTGTAGCTTAGCCCCAACGCATATACATGCTTCATTATACTTACAGGGAAGCAGGCTCGGTGAAAATTTAACGCTGCATAAAATATGAAATTAAAAAGCCAGCAAAAATGACAATAAGCACATTATAATCATATATGCTTAAGGCGAGATATATACTTCTTCCAACAACAATGTTGGACGGCAGTTACAAAAGTTGCTTCTGCTATTTAGCTGCAACTGAAGATAACTTAAGATTTCCTTCTTTTCGCTAATAAGGAGCTGGAGCCCCGATAAGTATGCTACGTTTTGAGTTTACAGTTTAAAGCGAGAAATGTTTTAACGTTTTACACCAGAGACGGACATTAATTAATAATTGAATGAAATAAATAATGAAATAATACTAAACTCCTACTTTAAGCTGTATTTGTATTTTTCTGTAATTTTAATTTAAGTTATTGTAAATAATAACAGAATATTTAAGGTTTTTAAACATTTAAAAAAAAAAGGACATTTAATCGCCTCTCACATTTTAGATACAGACAACTATAATGCCTCGCCATCCATGTTGTTTAAGAAGCACCCGACATGGCATCTGTTGCCATCTTGTTACAAACGCAATACTCTACTCCTAAATACCCGCAAAGCATAAATAATTAGTTTATGTTTCTCTGTTTGTGGTTGCGTGGCTTTATAAAATGGATTAGAGAAGCTTAACTTAGTTGACATTTCTGTGGCGTACTCACCCAAGAGAAAGCAATTTTTGAGCGTAACTGAACAGAGTTTGGCCAAGGGCCATACACATGGAATGCGGCAGCATTAAAAAGCCAAAATTAAACTTCTTTGGGTCATCTTTGACGTGCTGGAATTTATAGTGTTTAGGCCGAATTCGTGTACAACTTTGGCTTATTTATGTGAACTGCCTGCCACCTTTTCTATTTCGGTCCATTTGGGGTACTCCAATGAAAAGGCCTTAAAAACTAAAAACCTTGCAAAGAGCTTTCACCTGCAATTTAGTTGACTGCACTATGGCCGACTGAAGTGTTGTTGGCACCGCTCTAACGAAATATACTTTCCCCTCCACCCGCGATGTCCACCCACGCCTGCTAACAACATTTTTCCGTTTGTAGTTGGCCCTTTTTTCCATTTGCCGTAAATTCCAGGCCATTTGCAAAAACGTGACTTTGTTTGTTTCTTTGGTGTTCGTTGTTGGCTTTGCCCAACTCCCAATAAATTTTATTTCCCCCGCCCCCGCAAAAGTGCAGTGCCTTGTCTTAGAAAAAATGGTGTAGCTTTATCTGCATTTAGTACATAAATAAATGGGGGCAATGCCAAAAAGCTTTTAGCTGCAGCCAGCCGGCGTTTTGGGACAACAAATGTATAAAGCCACGCAACAAGGGATGGCCAATGCCAGAGAGTGGGAAGGGGAGGGGGAGGGGGAGCGCCAACTAACTTGTTGGGTATTGATAGAAATTTATATTGGCATTGCCTTTCGGTTTCATTGGCACCTGTTTCTGCTTCTGTCTGCCAATTAGGTTTATGGTAACGCCTTTTTTGAATTTGGGCGCAGCTGTAAACTGCTTTTGAAGGGACAGAAGTAAAGGAAGCAATCCAATATGAACAGTTAATTAATTTTGAAAATGTATATAACAACTGTTTCTGTATAAATAACACTAAATAGAAGCAGCCGTCGTTTTGTAGGTGATCTAGCAAAACAAAACTACTGCACTACAGCTATCTCTATACTTGTATGCTTGAAGCAGGCCTCTTCATTCTCGACAAATTTTCAACATTATAGAATACTATACTTACTATTCAGATCAGTTATCAACATTTAAGGAAAAAATAACAAACGAAACAGTAGAATAAGTGCACACAACAGTTTAGTAACAAGTTCTTTTGTTGGTTTTACATTGTTTCAGTAAATTTTTAGCAAAAATTGAAACAGAACGATAAACATGGCAGATCCAGAAGTAAGTCACGATTCGCACAATCAACAAAAAATATGCAATAAGCAAAACTTTTCAGAACAATGCTGAGCCCAATGAGCAGATCAACATTATTATCGATCCGGACCAGATTATGGAACAGCTTAACAACGATTTTGGCCAAGGTGATGCCCCACTGCCGCAGTGGATAGAGCAAACAGCTCCGAACATGGCGCAAACCATCGAACTAGACTCGGATGAGGAGCCGGCGTATCCTCGCTTAGACAAGCCCTTGCCCTGCGTATCCTTCAGCGAGGTGCGTCGCCTAACCATTGAAATGCGCGAGAAATTCGCTGCCTTGGATCGCCAGCGCACACGTCGTCTCTCCAAAATCTTTCGCGCTAGGCAGCAGGAAATCGAAAAACAAACTAAAGAGGATCCTGAAATGTAAAGCTGTGCAATAAAAATATTGGCCTGCACTTCTCCCCGTGTAATCCTTACTAGCTTACTGTAGACAAATAACAAGCTTTGTTTAATAACTAACGAAGGAGGGAAAGTGCGATTAACGTAATTAAAATAAATTCTAAAGTAGCAAAGCTATTGGCATTACAACACAATCGAAGCAGAGCTGTTTTGCGACTTGTTGTAAAGAGCCATACAGCAATTGCCTTTCAATTATAATGGCTCATAAAATTATGCAACTTTGTCACATTTGCTGCAAAATTATTATGCATGAGCAGGTTTAGCTAAGCAACAACTATAAACAACACAATATATACTTGTAGTTATGTAACTTAAGATGCAGCATCGTGCAGCAATGAAGCACTTTAAATGCAAAAGGTGCCTGGGAAACACTTGTAACATGTTGACGAGAGCTGATCAATAGGTTCAGATTGTAATAAGATACGTTTTTATTCTTTTATAACTAAATAATATCTACAAATAGATTAAATTAAGGGCTTCGCAGCTGTCCGAAACTTTCAGATATCTTCCCAAAGCTGTCTTCATTTCGCACAGCCTTCGATGTTGAAAACTTGCTGATGAGCCCTCGAAAATAGACAATGTATCTGTGATTTATGCGTCTCCGTCTATCTGCACTCCTTTCTCCATCACATTGCCTGGCAAGTGAGACGATAAGGACTCGTAGTCGGAGACTCGACACGGGCACGAAGACAAACATAGGCTTTCATTTGCAAATTAAATATTATCTGCTCGTCTGCCTGATAGGCACAAGCACACGTTCCACACACAAATCAACATTTGTTTGAATTAGCTCCAAAATGAGGCATCATTCCGAATACATGCTCGTATGCTTGTTTACAGATGTCCTCACGCTCTCAAATGTGTAGTTAACAATTGTAGTTGTTGTTTTGGCAGAGAACATAAAATTTAATATTTATTGCATTTGGTTTCGTTTGAACTCTGACCCCACATGCCTGTCTTTAGCCAAATTCCCTCCACTTCGAGCCGCATTGTGGTTTGTCTCATCCATTAAGCATCTTTGTGTGTGTCACTTTTTGGGTAAACATTAATCACATTTAAGCCAGATTAATACTAAATACACAAGCAGGCCATGCTGCTGCCATCTGGCGATGGAACTGGAGCTCGAGCTGGAGCTGAAGCTGAAGCTGAACTGAGCTACAACCAACATTTAATAAGCCGAAGAAGCCAATGTTGACGCAGTTGTACGTGACCTCATCCTGTAAGGTCGCTGCAGAGACTTGCATGAATCAGACCGCACATAGATCTCTGTCAGAGGCATTACCATTAGCAGCATCGTCGGCGGCCACCAAAGATAGTTCATCAAAACTGACAAGCCCATTTTGCTAAAGTAGAGAGGATAACGCCACAGAGACTCCATGTAGAACAAAAATCCACGATATAACAAAACTGCAAGGACGTCGCACCACAGCAGCGCCGCCGCATCCCATCGCACCGCACCACTCCGCACCACACTGCACCACACCATAACACAACACAACACAGCACAGAACGCCACACAAACACAACAGATGAGAAATATTCATCAGCATTTACGTCACGCAGCGCGCAAAAGACTCCTGTTGGGGTTTGAGCATTTGGAGGCTGCGTGGCTGGGCTGCACACTGGGACGAAATTGAAAGGGTGTTTAGCAACATACCAGAAAAAGTAATTCTATTTCTAACTAAGCGACAAACCCATTTATAAATGTCGTGCTGTTGGCCCATTTTGATTAAATAATTTCAACTAATTAAAGAAACAATAGCACAACAATTAATAGACCTTGTTCAATAGACCTCATAAAACCAGACTTACCAATATTCAAGTGATTTCATTTGAAAGAAGAGTGTACTCTGTCCACTAATGCAAAAAGGTCCTGGACAGATAGGCAAATAATTTGCATATTTCTGCTAACTTAATGGCAGTTCTGGCATTTACTTTGCTTAGCAGGAACTGGAAATGAAATTGCATTGGAATTGTTAGAGCGGCCAATCTTCGGTCAGATAGACAACTATGTTTATGTTGAAATTCAAAATAATGACATGATTATTAAGCCAATAATGGCTCAATAGTTGTTTACTGCAATAAACTACTCTGGGACCAGCTTTTAAAAGCAGACACAGACTAGTGTACTACTAATTATTCAAATGTTTTAACACTTTTATATAATTTTATAAATTGTAAATGCATTTAATTAAATAAATAATTCTTAAAACTTGTGTATTATTCGAAGAGGCTGATCTGTCATGGCCGTATATAAAAATTGTAATATGGAAAAAAAACTTTGAAAGAGAACAAAAGCGATTTAACCTAAGTGAAAATCCACATTAGGTGAGCATTTTCTAGCGCTTTCGCACCAATGTGGCTTGGGGGTCTGGGGCTCTGGTGGTTGCTCAAGCACTTCTAGTAGATTTATGTTGACATTTCAATGACAGTTGTGAAAATTTCGCTGCCAGCGAGCAGACAGGAAATTTTGTTATAGTGCTCGTGTTCAAGTTGCATGCAGTTTTCTGAAATTTATTAAATTTTTTCAATTTTCCCATCGCTGCATAGTACTTGTAGTATGTGAACGTTCTAATGTTATATACATACTTGTATGTAGGTGTCTATGTTTCTCCCAAATGCATTTAAATTCATTTAGCATGGCTGGCATCATTTGCGTTTGTTCCAAATCTCGCCTCGACCATTTATCACAGCTGCCGTTGCCTGACTAATTGGGCTGATAGGCGCAACCAGTGCCACATACATTTCAAATTGACAGCATATTACATCGGGGGCAGCAACAACAATTTCACCAGCAACAGCTTGAAGTGCCAGACAGGCGTTGGTAATCGTAATCGGGTCGTGGCAGAACAACAACAAATTGTTTGCGTGCCAACCATCAATTTTTATTAACTTGATTAAGCGCTTTATGGCAAATATCAGCAGTCGACGAGGTCGCTGCAACAAGTTATTAGCATAATAAAATTGAAATCTGGATTCTGGTGATTGAGTGGCTGAATCTCTGCAGGGATTATAGAGGATGCGACGAATCTACTCGTAAGTGCTTATGCAGATGTTGGCGGCTGCAACGGATGTGTAGCTTCTAGGCCTATTTTAGGAAAGCGCTTACAAGTATACAGATGCATATATAGTTACAAGAACTAACGCAATATCTAATACAAGTTAATTAAATGAATTAAATAATAATCATCCTATAGCTAACAACCTAAAACTACGATTTCATAAATGTTACTATCTATCATGAATAACAAAAAAAATTAGTAATTAAAAGGGACAAAATATTTGATAAATATATGCACAATTAAAAATGGTAGTCAAATATATAAAAATATTTTTTATATAAAAATCCTCAAAATTATGGAAAATAATAGCAGTAGTGAGTAGTTTCCTTGCTTATATGTTATGCCTACAGCACTATAGAAGTCAAGCTAAATAAACGTTTAGTGCTAAATTAAAAATGTTTTTTAAAAAAATACAATACAATACATTGTTTGGGCTGCTCTGACAGCTGCATAATTACATAAGTGCCAGTATATAGCCAAGTTTTTGTTGTTTGTTGTGTTTTCAACTTTTCAATAATGGAGTTTTTAGGTTTTACTGAATATTTCAATTTCGAATTTTCAATGGCGGCTTCATACATAATTATAGAAAAAAGGAAATTATATTAATGTGCATTATATTGGACAGAAACATACGCCTCTCCCATGTCCTGCAGGCATTGGAAAAGGCTGTTATTGTTTTTCAGTGGCGAGCAGCTCGTGTGCTGCGAACTTAACTCTCTCCCGGTGGAGTACATGGAAAGTGCTGTCCACCGAAATGCCGAGCGACCGTGCTGACCGCTTTCTGTTAGCTCATTAAAAGCAAACAATACTACGAGTACACTGTTTTGCCTTTCCTGCGCAGTTAATCAGTTATGCTCTGAAAACGCTGCTTCGAGCGCTTTAAAGTTTATTGTTCAAACGCTGCCAGTTTCATTATGCGGTTTAATTAAAGCTCTGCAGCAGAAGCTGCTGCTGAGCGAGGAAGGAAGGAAGGAGTGGCAGAGGCAGAGGCACAGGCAGCTGCCTCCAACCAAATTACACTAATTGGGTTACATATGACACGCCAGCAGCGTCCATGTGCCGTCAACTGTGCGACGTTTGTTTGCCTGCCAATGGCCAACACCCACCCAAACGCCCCTACACACAGGGAGGGGTCCTGCAGTGTTTTGCCGTTTGTTGTGCGACGAGGCGTGGCTGCAGAAGAGGCGGCAGTAGCTTCCAGCCGTCACTTGGCAGCCAACAGTCGACAGTCGACAGCCGGCCTGCTGTTTGTAATAAGCTTGAAATGATTTTCCGCATGCCAGCTGCTTTGACAGCTGAAATAACATCCCCACACACACACACACACACACACACACTTATGCTGCTGAGCTTCCATGTGACGGAGCAGGGAACTGCAACTGCCGCTCAAAGGCTTAATTGAGTGCATCAACTCGGCTAAGGCCGACAAAGCATTAAGCTTTTTACTAGACACACACTTTATTTTCCAAATCCTAGCCTCATACTTGGGAGGGAGTTACAAGTTAATTACTAAAGCATAATAACTAATAGATTTAGCTAATTTAAAGCACATTAATGCCACAAATAAGTTTTAGGAGATGTAACGAACATGATGAGACTTATTGGCAATAAGTGCTTCAGAAAATATATTTAACAGAAGAAAGGAAGTTGAGCGAAGGTCAAGAGAAGATTAAAAACTTATTACATAATACAGCTAATTCTGTTTTTACACGGTACATTGGTTCCAGAAAAAGATGTTATTTTAAATCGTGCTAAATGCAATAATGTCTTGTAACCATAAATACAACTTTTAATTTTCAAACCGTGTTAAATAAAAACCGTGCAAAAAAGGACCGTGTAAAAACAGAATTAGATGTATAATATTTCCAATATCATTATATTGTTTCCATATATGGTAGGCCCATTTTTTAACACTGGTAATATAGCTAGCTAACGCGTATTGGAAATTATTTTTAACCCTATTTTGATTCCTATCATTGTTCAATCCTTTATCAAAATATTTTCCAATATTTTTCAACGATGAACAAATAATGCGATAACCAATAAAATCGTACTCTTGTCTAGAATAAATATAACTAACAGCGTCTCGCACTCAACGATATGTTTTTGAAATAAAAATTGACTGAAAGGCAAATTTCGATATATCTTTGCATGTGTTTTAGATTCTAAACAGATTTAAGTTTATTTAAGTTAATTTGTTAGGGAAAATATAAAATAGTGCTTAGCTTTAATCGCAAATTGAAGGCCATGTTTATAAAGCACAGCGAATTTAGGAATCGATGAGCTAACTCAGAGCCCAATGAATCGTTGCTAACAACAGAATATATATTGAAAACTTAAGTTTGATCATCTCTTATAGAGGATCGTGTGTTGCCTGCAATAATCAATGACCAGAAGTTAAGCTTGCATTATATTATTATAGTTTTTCTTTTCAACAGTTCAGATTCAACGAAAACTCTTCCGGTAAAGCCATTGGTGCAGCCTCAAATCTTCACTGCAGGCTCGAATGTGCGCGACTCCTTTTCCTCCTCCTTGGGCATCATAATCTCCTCCAGGGTGCGATTCAGTGCTTCCGATCCGAGCTCATAGTTCTGCTTGCTCTTATTGTGCATTGCCCGGATATAGACAGAACGCTCTGCAGCATTAACGTCGCTGCTCAGAATGTTCTGGAGGGCTGCGCTAACCTTAGCCGAGCCCATCAGATAGGGCTGGGTCGGCTCGACGGCCGATTCCGCTTGCTGGGAGGCGTGTCTCTCGGCAGACTCCTCGTTCACTGTCTTGATCATGTCGGCGCCATGCATGGTCACCAGGAGGCTGGCGGTGACAGTGGCTACCCACTTGAGCAGAGCATTCGTCGTTAAACTCATGGTGGATGGTTGTTGCAAGCTCTTGGCATTAATTTATATTTTGTTTTTTCTATCTGGGCCAAATATCTGGGGAAAGCAAGAGCAAGGCCTACCCGATTGCAATGAATACAATTTCAAAAACTCATGATACTCTAAATAATCCTTAAAGTAAAAGCTATAGGAATTTTAAAGCTCAAGAACAGAAGCACCGCATTGCATAAAAGAGGACCCAGTTCGTAGAGCCGTTCATTTATTTTCCTATGACATGGGATGTGCAACTGATTTTTATAAAAAGCAGATACTCAAAATTCTCTAGTGTGACCAAAAAATATGTCGCAGATAACGTTAACACTTAATGTTAAAAAGATTTGAATCCGAATTCGGGCCGTTTTAAACAGAAATTCGGCTATCCCGTTAGTTAAATTTCACTTTACACTCAAAGTACAAATATATGCTTCAGTTCTCATTTTTAGCGCTTTTTTCAATAATATTTCATCTCTACATATGTTCATGAAAAATAGAATCCTCTAAAAAATCTTCTAGTCGGGCTTTAGCTTTTCATACAACACTAACAGTCGAACACTTTACAGCACTAACTGATGCCACTTTTCATATCGGACTTGTTATTTCCTGCCGTCGACTCAATTCTTTTCTTCACACACGGCATATCGGAGCAATTGCTCTAAAAATGGGTCAGAGACAAAGCACAGCTAATCAGGAAAACAATACTGAGAGTAACGCTGCAGACAATGCTGCGACCAACGAAGAGGACAACGAAGTGGACAACGGAGGGGACAACGAAGTGGACAACGACGAGGACGACGAAGTGGACAACGAAGAGGACGACGAAGTGGAAGAGTTAGACACACCTCGACCAGCGGCCAACCAAGGCGGACAATCGCAAGAGTCGATTGACGAAGACGACCGGTTAATTGTTCAAGTTTTGTCCAGCTGCCCTCACCACAGTGTAATCCCGCATAGGGATCAGTCCATGGTGGTGGTGCGTCCTGGGATGTTGGACAGACAGCGACGTCGCACCCGATGGGGAGACGGCATGGACGAGGTGAACGCGGATCCGTTGCATGAGGCGCGAGAGCTTTTCGAGAAGGATCTCGAGGAGGAGCGCATGAAGAAGTTCCTCGAACAGAAACTGGAGCGGGACAAGCTTCCAGAAGACACACCACTGCCAATATTCTTGCAATATCGGGAGCCAAAGGCCCCCTTCGTCCCATCAGTAAACATTCCGAAACGTATGCACAAGAAGCATAACCCTGCTTCGTTGAACGTTTAGGAAAATGGGGAAAATACATTGGAGCTCAGATCTAATTGGTGAACACGATAAATACGCTGTACTTGTATGCACACGTCCTGTTAAAATATTGAAATATCTACATATACATACATGTTATTAAAAATGGTGTGTGTAAGTTTCATAAATAATACAAATTCGAAGACATGCAAAAAATAGAACTGTTTAGTTTAAATCTCCGAAGATGCCGTATATTTCATTAATAATACAAATTAAAAGACTGTTTAAATTTCCGAAGCTGGCGGCACTAGCAGGCATCAACTCTTTGCTGCTGATGTGGCAACGCCTTTTTAGCTGAATCACCAACCAATACCATCTCTTTCGGTTCATGATTCAACTAGTTACTAATAACAAAGTCACAACAAGCTGCTGGAAATAAAGTGACTGTGACTTAGACTACGCAAGTATTAGAATTTGAAAAATTCCGAATTCGTTTTATAGTTAGATCATTATGCCTTATATAGTAAATAAATATATAAATTTTACGAAAATTAAGAACCTCAACAGCGATGCACCCGCGATGCTATTAAATATATACGACACCAGGGGTGCGCGTGCTACTTTTTCACTGTTAATTTGACTGTGACATCGCCAATCTCTAAGACTCGTAACAGCGACGCATATGTCCACAAATGCCCATCTCTATCGCTCATCTCTAGTCAAGCGCACGGAGTGTGAAAAACGGGCGGATTTTTTGTACTTTTATAAAAATATATCAAAAAAATCAAGTAAAGAAAACGGCCAGCACGATGACAGACTTGCGCAACGACATGGACAGCGATCTGGACCAAAACTACTCCCTGAACAGTAATGCGGATCCAAAGAACATGCAGGAATTGACGATCTATGTAAGTGTAGAACGCTCAAGGTAGTAGATTGCAAGCCTGGCAAAGCGTCCGCGGTGTTGGGGACAGCCTGGCCAAGCCGCGGTCGCTTTGTTTGTTTGGCGAGTTGGAGAGAAAGACACAAAATACAACGCACGCATTTGTTTTTGGCTTTGCTGCAGGTGCAAAATCTCTTACAGAACGTGCAGGACAAATTCCAGACTATGTCGGACCAGATAATCACCCGCATCGATGATATGGGCAATCGTATTGATGATCTGGAGAAGAGCATTGCCGATCTGATGAATCAGGCGGGCGTCGAAGGACCGGAAAAGTAGAACCGCAATAATCTGGGCAGCCAAACCAAAAAATCTGACTATACATATGTACATACATATGTATATCAACGCGGGAGCCACGCCCTCATAAAAAACATGCAATGCGCCCACGGCATGCATTCAAATAACAGTAGCTAGTAGTCATGGCACTCACATATACACACACACTCAAATTGTACACATACTCAGTTCGACGTTCCATTCATTATTCATATTATTCGCCCATCACCGTCACCCAATTGCTCTGAAACTGTACACCCATTTTGCTCATGGTTTGCATAGTTTTAAGTTCTATCCTAAGTTAAGTGTCCTTTTTGAAATATTTGTAAACTAAAGAGCATTTGGATTCCATTGTCTAGTGGAGGGAAACTTTGAAAGATTTTGCCTTTTGTTTTATTAAAAGCAAATTGTACGTACACAATCAATGCATCTCAAACTGTTATTTTATACACATGTATGTACATACTATGTATGTATCGTAGCTGCCGTTGCCTTGCCGCTCACATTTTGGTGCCGGGCGGAGGCAGTTCCATGCTCGGCCTGCGCGCCGGCTTCGATTCAACAACGGGTGCCAGACCCTGACGTTGCCTCTGCGACGGCGTCGCCTTAGCAACCCGACGCACCTTCTGTGGGGAATCAGAGTATTAGATTAGTTGCATGAAATTTGCATATTTATTTGTTTACTTGTGGTAAATAATGCTAAATGTAATGAATTGCTACTGTCTAACTGTCTGTAATGATCTAGTTTTGTGGCACATGGAATTGCTTTTGCAATCTTACATGTGTGGCTGCCACCGCCTTGAAGGGATGCTTCACGCTCTGTCGTGTAGGTTTCGAAGGCACTGTGATGGCTGATGCAGCTGCATTGCTTGGCTCAGCGGCTGCGCTGGTGGCCTTTGGGGCACGTGTCTTGGCCCCAAAGACATTGTCTCGGTTGCCCGTTCCGCCTGTGCCAGAGCCAGCGTTATCTCGTGGCGTCTCATGCTCATCGTCCGACGCACTGCCACTATCTTGCTCCTCATCGCCACTCTGTTCAGTTTCCTATTGATTGAAGGATAATTGTTAGGGTCTATAATATAACCTGGAGATGGCTACTTACTTCCTCCTCATCGTCTTCGTCGTCATCTTCCTCGGTTTCGTCCTGGTTAAATAAAAGCAAGATTTACTTGAGTCAAATAAATGTGCAAATAGAGGAATTTTTAGATAGATAACTTTTTTTAAGGTAATTCAAATATCAAACAAAGTAAGAAAATAATAATATTAACGAACTGCGAGTATAAATAATTCTCTTTTTTGAATATTCACGTTGAAATTAGAATTATCAAATAGCTTATCGACTTGACTCGAAATTTAATTGTTTGCATTTTCCATCACTCACCTCTTCACTCTGTCCCAACTTATTCCCATGATTAATGCCCCCACTGGCACTGGCCAGGTTCTTGCTGCTCCTCGATAGCTTGTTGTGCCGCTTTAAGGGACTCATCAAATGCTCGCGCTCCAGACTATCCATAGACTGGGAGCGCAGGCTCTTCTTTAGGGCCGACTTGCGGCTGGTGGGCTCCTCTTTGGTTTTCATTAGCTTTTGGAACTCAAGGAAATCGTCGTGCTCATCAATGCTGCAGACATCATAATAACTGGCACTAAGGACCTCCAGGGCTTTAGTGTGATGCTTCATAGAGATGAGTATGTAGTCGCTCAGAACTTGCTTGACATCGTGCAGCTTGCGTTGCTCAAAATTGCTGATAATCTCATCGATGTCCTTGTTAGTGCGCTGTACTTCCATTTTGGCCTTGTAAAGTTCTGAGTCTGCCGCACTCTGCTGTGGATTCGAAATTGAAAAATAGCTTATCATATATTTTCGGTATTTTCGATTGAATTGCTTACATTGTTGGCAGTAAACTTGGACTTGAGCTCCAGCATTTGACGCTGACGCAACACCTCTTTGTCCCGAGCTATGACGGCAAGTCTGAGGTTATCCCGAGTCGATTTGCAGAGCTGCTCGAACTGTGCCAACTCGTTGACTATCTGCGACATATAAAAAATACCCGTCTAAGTTATGGAATATATTTGTATCAATATAGGGCCAACCTTCAATTCCAGACGATGCACATTTAGGTCCATATAATCACCCATTAGGGTGACTGCATTGGTGAAGCTCTTGAGACCTGTACATAGGCTCTCGTTGATTTCTTCGTCATCCGCATAGCTCTTGATGCCTTTGGCCAGCTCATCATGCGAGTCCCGATATCTGTGATGATTAAATAAATCATATATTTTACTCATCGATTCTCTTTGTTTCCATTCCGCTGACTAGCCGCTTACTTCGCCATTTTGCGAGTGATCAGCGCAAAGGCTGAACACATTTCCATTAGATGACGTTCTGTGAGATTAATGCGCTCATTAATGATCTTGATGCGATCATCTTTGGTGCTGAGAAATGATAGTTTTCCCCGACGGAACATATTGCCGCACCAATATCTACTTATACTGACAAATGCAAACAAAACCCAAAACAATTGTCAAAAGCAAAACAAATTGTTGTCATGGTAACCGACAAAAAAGTGTGGAAAAATACGAAATTCTCCACAATAACGGTTTCATCTCGAAAATGAAATCAGCTGTTAAAGGGCGGTTATTGATCAATTCGAATTTTATGTAATTCAAAAACAAATTATAATGCTTAAATGCAAATTGTTATTCTTCTTTAATTTAATTTAATATACGAAATATGCAAAGAAATCAATAAAGCTGTGATTACACATTCACCAGACTGTTACAAAACTTGGTGCGTGTCTCTGATAAACCAAAAGCTCGACTTAGTTAAAACACCAACCACTACCAGCAGTTATGCGAACCCCAACAAGTCGCTTGAATAGGTTTCTCCTTTTCGACGAATATTGTGGAGAAAGCAAATTGTTATGTCTCTGTTGTTTTGAAGAATACTGTCATGCCTTCTATCAATATTTTAAATCTGTTTTTATATCAAATCTGTCATAGGCATTGACACGATTAGTCATCTGATTTGCCTTAAAAAAATTAAGTTAAAAGCAATAAAGTACAAAAGTAATTGCGATGAGCGATCCAAAACCAAACCACCCGCCGCCCACAAAGGCGCGCAAGCCACGTTCTTCTGCAACTCCTGGACATACACCGGTTGCAGAGTCTGCGCCTACACAGGCACGTGGGGAACGTACATCTGCAGCGAGTGCAAGGGCTTCAACTCAACGGATTGAAGGATCCCGTGGGGACCCGCCACCTGCACAGGCGCAGTGGCAACGTTCACCTTCGGCTACTGGTGCTGGAACTCCATCGCTTGTAAGACCCGCAACAGCGCAGGCAGGCTCGCAGCGTCCATCTATGGCAAGAACATTAGATCCACTACGGACGGAAGAGGCGCCGGCTTCTGAAGCTGAAAAGCCCAAAGGTACAATATTCGACAAGCCACCCGGAACCCCACGTCCTTCAACTCGTCCCACACCTCTGCCCACACCACGTCCCACGCCACCTGATCCAACTTTCCAGCGACCCTCAACATCGAAAGCCCAGCCGCTTACGTCTACCCCAAGGGGGTCGGGTGAACCTCCTACTGACCAAGGTAAAGCAAACCCAGAGACCACACCAAAGCCAAAGCGTCGATTTCTGGGACGAAAGGAGAAAAAACCAAAGGACCAACCAGTAGCAGCTGTCGCTACCGGTGGCCCTGTACCTGTTGCCCCTCCGCCAAAGAAGAAAATAAGGCGCCGACGAGGCATGTACACCACAGAAGAGGAGGTGAAAGAGGCGCTCATTGAGATGGCAGTCTTCATTATTTTCCTCTTACTAACCGTTTTGGGTAAGCCGTAAACATTGACTAATCAAGAACTTGTATAAAACGCTCAAATTGCATCTTCAACAACAAGAGAAAATGATTTGACAAAAAGGTATATAAGTATTAAACAAATAAAATACTAGGGTTAGTCAGTGTAAGTCAAACCATTTTCGAAATAAAGGCGTTCATACAGACAGACAGTCGGACGCACGAACATAGCTAGAATAAATCGTTTTGTCGGAGGGGTGTTACTGCTCAAGATAATTCGTATATACATCGTTCATACTAAGTACTTAATTAAAGGATCTAATCCATGCATTTTCAGTGACTTTTTCGGTGCGCAATTTGCGGATGTACCATTATAATGATATGATGAGCAAACTGTTTTACCAACGGGATATTGTTATTGTACCTTCAGTGACAGTATCGCTTGTGAATATTATTACCGTCCAGGACTGGTGGGACTATTTGATTTACAATTTTTTCATTACTCTGCATGGCGATACCCCCATAATATATGACCATGACGATGGCGGAGGAAATGAGACAAGTACGGCAAACGGAACGGAAACAAATTCGACAGAAGCTCCAGCTAGTACAAATCGCACCAGGCTTGGTCGCGATCTTCAAAATGCTAGACCACTTAAAGCTGTCGGTGGTGGAGGTGGAGGTGGCGGTGGCGGTGGTGCCGGTGGTTCTGCCATTCATGGAAATTTCACCTTGTTCCCAGCTAGGACGCCAAACTTAGTAGGGCGCATGTTTCTAAAAGAGAGTCTGCTGCTAGGTCCACCGCGACTGCGCCAGATACGGGTCAGAAAGGATACTTGTGACGTCAATGACGCATTTATACGGTATTTCAATACATGCTATGGAGCCTACTCCGACGGCATAGAGCAGCGAACTAGTGAGCATGGCGGTGTTCCATATAAGACGATGAGCCAGCTGGATGCCACTGCTGTATGGGCGGAGCTTAATTTCTATCGCTCCGGTGGTTATACAGTCGATCTGACCTACGATAGGGATAAGAATTTGGAAATGATGGAAGAGCTGAAGAGCAACCATTGGATCGATCGAGGCTCGCGCCTGTGTCTCATCGAGTTTAATTTATTTAATGAAAACCTTAACCTTTTTCAAAGTCTTAAGTGAGTGGTGGGGAGTGGATTTTTCGATTCTTGTAGACTAAAATGCTGATATATTTTGCAGATTCATAGCAGAGATGCCACCTTCAGGAGGCGTACTGCCACAGGAACAGATACAAGCAGTCAAGCAATTCTCGTTTTTCACCGATGAAAGCCTCATGAATTTGGTCGTCTATATTTTCTGGTATATTATGGTCGTATACTATACCATATATGCAATTATAGATCTGCGAAAAGTGGGCTGGAAATATTACTACAAGTCACTGCTTAATTGGCTGGACACGTTTATAATAGTGGTAGATATTGGGCTCCAACTTGTATAATTCTCGCTGCATTTTATCTCTCTCCAACTTCCGCAGTTCGCCTATCTGGCGTTAATCTACAACGTCTGGCACACGTTTAAAATACACTCTATTTTTCGCGAGGGAAGAAAAGGGAAAAGCGACTTTCAAAGCTTGGATTCCTTATTGTTTTGGAACGAGCTCTACGTTGATTTGGTAGGCCTCCTGGCCTTTCTAGTATGGGTCAAGATCTTTAAGTTCATCAGTTTCAATAAGACCCTAGTTCAGTTCACCACAACCCTAAAGCGCGTAAGTCCACTTGAGATTTGTCGAGCTATAAATTGTGTCTCTCATTGATAACGCCTTTTCGCAGTGCTCCAAAGATCTGGCCGGATTTAGTCTCATGTTCGCCATAGTCTTTCTGGCGTATGCGCAGCTGGGCCTTCTACTCTTCGGCACGAAGCATCCCGATTTTCGAAACTTTATTACCTCCATATTGACCATGATACGCATGATCTTGGGAGACTTTCAGTATCAGCTCATTGAAAAGGCCAATTATATACTGGGACCCATTTACTTCCTCACCTACATATTAATAGTGTTCTTCATACTTTTGGTAAGTCGGCTTGCAACTCCCAAAGCTTTCCGAATTCTGTTTCTGATTTTTTCCCACACTAGAATATGTTTCTGGCCATAATTATGGAGACCTACAACACGGTGAAAGGAGAGATTAGTCCAGGGGAACTTAACTTGGGCTTATACTTCTACAAAATGATTGGCCGTATATTGTACTATATAACGCATTGCGGCCGGAAAAGCCGCGCTCCTCCTGCCAACCCAAATTTGGAAGAGGGCGAATTTAGGGAACAACCCAGAGTAGCAACCAAAACTCACGCACAGCTTCAGTAAGTGAATCACCTAGTTACTTAATATTAACGTCTTCTGCAACATTTGCATTGGATTTTTTTTGAATAAGCCACCAACCAGTGAATACATTTTTTTTTATTATTATTGAACTGCTATTTCGATATCTAACACATGAGACGTTGATAATACGTGATAAAAACAACTCAATAGAATAATAAAAGAATAATTTTCAATTAGAGCAAAAGGTCTTTGCATATTCAAAATATTTAAGATACATTTAATTAGCATTACATGTTTTAAAGCCTTTGTATAATAAAGTAAAATAATGACTCATACTTGAATTTCAGGGCTGAACACATGGCAGAGATGCAAAACGAAGCAAGGGAAATCACGTTTAGGCGGTAAGAGAAAATTATATTTTTGTTAATACAATTATTACTATCATTATTAGTATGATTATTGATATTATTGTACATGTTATTCAAACCTTTTGCCAGACTGGGTGATCGTATATCAATGCTCGAGGATATTTTGGAGAAATTGGTCACGAACATGGATGAGTTAATAAAGCGAGCAGAAAAACAGCAAAAGAAAAGACTTAAGAAGGAGAAGCAGATGGAGAAGCAGATGGAGAAGGAAAAGGAGAAGAACAAGACCACAGAAAACGAAACAGTCTAGCCAGAAGTTCCCCCTTTTTTCTGAAACCCAGTCAAAAAAAGTCTAAATATAATTATTTAAATTACCTAAAAGCGAAAGCGTAAGAACTACTTAGTGATTAAGATTTAGCTCTGATTTTCGGTCCGTAATCAGAAATCGTTTTTCTCTTTTCTTTACTTTGTGTTTTTACTTAAGAACATCTATAATCTATTCAGTGGATAAGTTCATGCCGTATTAGGAACAAACAATTAAAGGTACGTTCTAGGACAGTCTAGATTATTGTCTTTGTCTGAAATTGGTAGATATAGTGTCAAAAGCGATTGTGTACTGTGTATAGAACCAGATTCACTTTCCACAATCTACCTACTCTAAGACTCCTCTTCAGACTAAGTCTACGCTAAGGCCAATGCCTTCTTTCTTTTCAAAGACTTTTTCATATATAATGTGAATATTTAGACCCATCACAAGCGTGTCAAGGTCAAGAGCACAGATACTTGTATATAATATTTTGTTTAGGCGTGGGCATAAGATGCGAGTAAAAAATTGTGATATTTTTAGAATTACTCACAATGCATGGTCGGTGGCGAAAACACAGGAATATATGTGCTCTCGACAAATTACGCTTTAATCATTTAACACAATTAAAACAATAACGAGCTTCTGGCTGAGTAAACAAAATTATTTCCGAAGAACTCAATAATAGAACTGCATCTGAGTTGGTAATACTTTGAGTTCATTAAGTGAGTTGTGAGATAAAAGATACAAGAAGACCTTGGCAATAATTTCGAACAAAATGCTTTGGAATATCGACCACAAGAATGTTGTTTATGGGAATCGCCAACAATTTGTTTAAATGCGCGAAAAAATTACCCAATACGGTCATTAAATTTTAAACGTTATTTAGTTGCTGTCTCCCGCTTTTGGCCAACGGAGTCAAACCGGTGTCGTGGTCGTGAATATCGATGTCGACGTCTACTTCGACTTTGACTTCGAAGTTGACGACAGCAAAGGCAACAGCGCAGAAAGTGCAGTTAAATGAGAATCCGGTTGCTTACAACAACAATAACAACACACACACATACGCACACACAAGCAGAACGTGGTGATCCCAATCTTGACGACGACGACGACACATAATAAAGAAGACAAAAACAATAACAATAACAAAAAGATCTTTGTCAACAGCTCCGAACATAAATACCCTCCGCTGTTTGGAAAAAGTAGCAAATAACTGTTTAGAATTGAACAAACAACAATGTTGTCAGATCCTAAAACTCTTTAAAAACATGTCATATATATTTTGGTGAGACATGAGACAAAATATAAACATGCATATATTTATTAATATAAATCACAAATTAATAAATAAACAAAGAGCTGACCTTTAAATTAGAGATAAGAGTGATTTAAGTCTATGGCGTACAATTTATGGGTTGTGGGAGATTAGATAAGCCGACAGGCCTTTATAGATGACAAGCGATGCAGAGCAGATAGCCAAAATGATGCTGCCTTACTCTTTTCTAAATCAAAATCTTCAACATCTGTAAGTGGATGAATTGGAGATAACTCCAATTTAAATTTAAAATCTTCATAAAAAGCTAAGACTTTTAAATTGATGATTGATTCATTTTTTATTGACAGTGGACTAAGTGAAGTGTAGAAGGGAGGCAATTGCAGAGTGGTGTTTAGTGCACAGCGGATGCAAATAACAGAAGTGCATTAAATAGACAGACTGGCATGTCTGATATGCCCTTTAATTTTAAGTGTAGGGCATAAGGGGAACAGCTGCATCACTCGAAGTTGTCGTCTTTGTTGTGACCATTGTAGTGACCATTTATTGGGACTCAGACAGTCAGGTTTGGCGCACGCCCGTGCTGATCGTGTTGGGGAGGTTTTGAATTTTAATAATTCCAGTGGTCATGGGACTTCAACAGACTCGCAATTCCGCTGTCTTCCACCTTCACTTTTGGCTGACGCATTTTTTTAATGTCGCATGTCTTCGCATACAATGCCTATTCCTTTCATTTGCCCGCTTCTTGCAGCTGGCTCTTGTAAGTTCTTTCTCGCATTCTTATTCTCTCTCTCTCTCTCTCTCTCTCTCTGTGTCCATCTGACTCTGTTCATTATTCTCCAATTTGCTTGCGCTTTGTCTCTGTGCGTTGGCATAAATTATATAAATTACGCCAAAATCGTACGCAACGGTTTAGTTCGAAAATTTTCGTACACGCTGCCAGACGTCAATTGAAAGAGTCGCGCGATCGCCGAGTGGTGTGTGTTTTGTGTGCGGGTGGGTGTGGATGTGTTAAACAACAACCGTCACATAAATTGTTTGCAAAATTAATGTTTGTCTATATACTACATACATAAATGTTTACACAGTACATTTATGCGCTGTTTCCGTTCGCCGTTTGATGTTTATAAACATTTGCGTTGACGTTTATAACATGAGAAGAAATTTGTTTAATCCGAAACAACAGTAAATTCAGTTCGGTTTGTTTGCGGCAATGGCGAAAATATTTAGCAAACATTGGCATTTCAGTGAAAATACTTCTGCAAATATTTATGCTAAGCTTTTCGCATTTACTATATGTCTAAAAATAAACAAAAGTTTTTCCAGACCGGCGCGTGTTCATTTGGCAATGAAAATTTGGTCTGAGTGTTTTGTTATTAATTTGTTCTGCTCAAATTTTATTCATTTATCTATTGCCTATAAACTTTGCAGACTCATCATCTAGCTACTACTTACTATTATTAATTGCTCGTTTTTGTTGCATAAGTTCGCATCCACCTTTGAGCGTCAGCCCATCAAAACGTGACTACTTTGTTTTGCAAATTACGAAGAAAAGGCTATAAAACAACTAGTAATTATTCAATAAAAATCACGTTCAGTTATTTAATAATTGAAGTCAGTTTTGATCCAGGAACTAGGTAATTTAATAAGATGAACTGCTGAGGAACTACGAGTACATGGCAGACATTTTATTAAAATGAAGTGCATTCATCATGAATTGATTTCAGGAGCTAGAAACCTAAGTACTTCCAAGTGAAATGATTTTGTTAATATGCATTATTTTATGGCACTTAACTTATGTTTGAAAATTTAAAATGATTATCAGTTATTATAAATATTTACCGATAATTTCAATTTTTCTTTTTAACTAAATACTTTTCCTTTGAGAGATAAAGAGAGAGAGGCACAGAGAGAGAGAGAGAAAGAGAGAGAGAGAGTTAAACGGTCAACCAGTTCTTGGTATATCTCAATCACGAGCTCTGATGATGTTCTATTACATTTATTTTCCATTAAAGTATTTCAAGGCAGTTGCTGGTGAAGATAAACATTCTTTTCAAAAAACAGCATTGATAGGATATGACATGCAATGTCAATTAACCGATATAATTGAAGATATTTATTTGCCATTGCATTTTAGTTATATTCGATAGTTCTAAGCGAGCAATCTTCAATGCCAGATTATCATTGAAACACAAGCATTCTTTAAAAGAATAAGCAAGCATTAGTTTTTCCAGAGTTATAGTCAAGGATGATTTCACTTCTGAAGTATATTCTTCTTTTAGTTGGCAAAGGGTATTCATTTATTGAAAATTTCTCAACACACGCAATGAAAAATATCAGACGGGCGCAAATTCTAGAACTCTGAATAGCCACTCAGAGCATGCCTATTTGTTGAACTCGTGAACTGTGCTAACGCTTAGCGTTTATTATATTGCCGCGATTACTTAATGAAACAAATGGATTTGCTTACGTTGGCAATAACAACAACATCATCAACAACAACAACAACAGCAACAATAAGGCCAATCGAGCATGACCTTGAACTCAGCAATGAATCAGCAACAAGTGTTGGGCTGTCAACGAATTGACATAATTTCGCGCAAACCCCAATGGAGGGTTGCCCAGAAACTCAGTCAAGTCGAAACCGAAACTGAAAAACATTGCACTAAAGGTGCATTCAACGAAGCGTGGCCATAGACGACGACGCCGATAGAGACGTCGGCGGTGCATATTGATTAGCCCGCAAATAAGCGGCGACAAGAGGTGTCGTGCAAAAATAAATTAAAATTGCGCATACGCCGCATATGGCACGACAGACTACTTAGCTGGACTGAACTGAATGTGCTGCGGCCACAGTGGCGGCTAAAATATAGTGACCGTTGCAGTTGCACTAATGCCATGGAGTGGAGAGCGCCTTAACCCTACAATTGCTCAAACATTTCCCACAACACTTAGTGCCTATTTAAATAAATTGATTATTTTTGCGCAATCTTATTTTGTTTGCATATCATTTTAGCAGCATGTTAAACCCGTGTCCATACCTAGTATAGATTTTAGTGGTCATTTATTTATAAAACACTCGTCGCTCACACACACGCACTCACACTCAGACAACTAATTGAGTGCGGCGAGCGGAGATTTCCAGCAGACTCGACCGGCAAAACAGACAGCAGAGACTGTAATGCTCTTGTTATGGTTGAGAGAGCAAGAAAAAAACTGAGCCCGCTCCCCCACTCACTCACTCACTCACTTGCTCAGTCATTTGTTAGCATTTGCTCAGCTAGTTCCAAACTTATTTCACTTTTTGTTGTGGTTGTTGTTGTTGTTGTTGTGTTCAATGTTCTCGCACAGCGCGAGCTTTATTTGTCGCTTCCTCAACGCATTAAATCGCATTTACCTCTAGTTTGTCAATCGGAACAGAACAGAACGAAGCGTAGCAGCGAGCCGGTAACAGTTCTATTGTGAGATCAGTGCATAAATATTAATAATAATAATAAGCAAAGAAAGCAAATATTGTATCTGTGAACCCAAGACAATATTTGTTCAACAATATTTAAAACCACAAAACATTCAAAGGGTCCAGAAAAGTCACAAACAATGAAGCTTCTAGCAAATCTGATGCTGATCGCGCTAGTGGCGAGCGGAGCTCTTGCCCTGCCAGGTAAGAGATAACAATAAAAACATAGAGAAACAGTAATTATTTACATTATTAAATCAAAGAATCAAAAAATCAAAAAATACTTTGTGTACCTATTTGCTTATACTATATTATATATAATTTATTTATATCAGAAAATTACTGCTGATTAGCAAAATGATGTGCAAAAGAGTGGAAAACTATAATAAATATGTAATTAATTAAATTGCATTAAATTTTTCCACAATGGGAGAGACAATATTATGAAATCGTTGATTAAATTGCGTATTATTACGAAATTTGAAATACTAACTTAAATGGAATATAATTCCGTAAACCTATTTTCTATTATATTATTTTTTGAAGTTAGTATTTAAAGAGCCTACGATTTTGACAGTAGGGAAGTCGTTTCGCCTTAATAAAAGATTATTAATTAAATAAACTAATATGAATAAATAAAATATTCTTTAGGCGCTCTTTTACTCTTCATTAATAAACAGAAAGTTATGTCCTGAAAGAAAAACTGATTTAAGGCAATTGCCACTTCAGTTTATTTGCTTTGCCATTGAATTATTATAATATACAATATCTGCAGTTTAGTCATAAATATTTTATAAATGAAATCATAGGGTTTTTATTTAATTAGCTACATAGTTAGCTACATCAGTATTGTGTTAGTGATATAACTAATTGAACGGTTCCTCCCATGTATAGCTATAGTGTAAAACCAGTTGCCAACTCAATTTTTATTTTGCTGTATTGTTGTAAAGTTGTCGCAACGATTTGTTATTCCATTTAAAATAAAAATATTTGCTTGGCAATAAATATATAGTAGTACACTCCCTTTACACTTCGACCTTACCACGCAGTTAATTAAACAAAATTTGCCCGGAAGGTGCTTAAATAAACAAATAAATATACAGCTTAGTACTAGGAAGCTAATAAAATAACATAATATTTGTTTACAATGTGTGGAAATAAACCCACTTTTTCGCAGTTAAACTGCAATGCAAAGAATGCAGCTGACTCGCAGTCTATCAATTATTTATAATCATTGAAATGGAACAGCACGACGCAATGTTTTGAACCCGTGTCAAGTATTGCTCATCAAAGCAGCTAAATTGATAACACTCAGTTATAAATATTACGGTTTGATACCCTTTAACCGAGGTGTACAAGAGTACTTCTGCTGCTGTTGAGCTCAGCTCATTAAAGAGTAATGGGATAGATGGATTGGATAATCATCTATCGGCATAAACGCTTTAATATGAGTGATAAAAAGGCTAAAAGGTTTTAGTCCTTATTATTAATATAAGTACCGATCTGTCTGTAAAACTATAGGTTTAACGAATACTGTTTAAAAAAGATCGTTTTTAAAAATATTCTTTCTACTTATGAAATACATTAGTGATTATTACATACTTGTATTGCATTCATTGAGATTAAATTACTCTAGTTATAAAAGAGTTTTTGTTTCTTCAAGTATTTTCCTTACCATAAGTAGGAAAAACAGTAAATGATGAGAGGGTATTCCGAAGTCCATATTGCCAACCACTCTTAATCTATAGTTATGTTGATTTTTTGCATTTCAAAATTCGCATTGTTAGAGGTTGCAGCTGCCGTTTGTTATTATTTTTATACATTCTTTGTTTCAAATTTGCGCTGAGATGCGGCGCATAATGATGGCGCTTGAACGACAAGTGACAACAACAACAAGAACGGCAACAACAGCAACTGCTTCAGACACTTGACAATCAGCAGCAGCAGCAGCGGAGAACGCATCCTACAGATACTCGGATAGCTGTAATGGCAGCCCATCATTGAGGCAAAGTCGGCGAGCAGCGCACTTGAATGCATAAATTGCATTGGATTGTCAGCTGCCAGCAGTAACAGCAGCAGCAGCAGTAACAGCAGCATCAACAACAGCAACAGCTACAGCAGCAGAAGTTGCCACTTGAAATTTTCAAATTTGTTGGCAGTTGAAATTATTTACTGCGAATATGAAAATATGCTGCATAGCTTTCTGCTAAATTCTGCTTCATAGTTGAAATATGTCCGCTCAGAATTGTGAGGAAGATGGCAGTTTAATGAACTCTCATTAATTTTTTAGTATTTTTAACATAAATTGGCTGCCGTTTTTCGGAGCTTTGCAAGAAGTCCGCCAAGAAATTCTTAAGCATTTTCTTTCTACTTTCCTTTTGTGACTCTCAAGGCATTTCATTTTATGGTTGCACTGAGATGGGTAGCCAAAACAAAAAAAAAAATAAATAAATAACACAAAAACTGAATTGGGTTAATCGTGGCCATTATTTGCATTTAAGGCCTTTTTCGCAGAATATACCCGTATAATGTGTGGATTATTCCAAATTGCATGTTCGTGTGTGCTTTATTTTATTGCTTAAGTGCACTCGACGCGACATTAATCATTGTACTTGTATTCTCTTTCAAACGAGTCGCAGAGAGCAGTTCGTGTTTTGTAGAGTAGTTGAGCGTGAAACAATTATAACTATATAATACTATATTTATGGATTTTATTATTTATGCATGTGTATTGCTTGTTATGGCGCAATTTGTTTAGTTTTGTCACATTTATTTATGCAAATTCGTTGCCATTGTATTATGTTTTTAGATGAATGTGGCTAATTGCGGTCAGATAATTGGGCCACATATGCAATGAATAGGCGATTAACAACGCTTTGTGATCACTAAAAACATGTGTTTGTACAATATTCATTAATATACAACTATAGTTACAGTATAAAGAAGATAGAGTGTGTTGAACGGTTTATATAAGAAGAAGCCTTATACCATGCGCACAAGGTTAATTGTAGAATGGAGAAGATAGATTATGCCTCCGACCTGTTATCTTCACTGATCAGGTCCTCCTTCTCCTGAATCTCTGTTCGCCCTCATCCCTTCAGTGTGTTTCCATTGCTCTCTAGCTTTTATGTTATTACTTGTAAGTATAGTTTAAAATTTAACAAGTTGCATATTTCTATATCACGCCTAGTTACAATTATAGTCATTACTATATTCAGTCTGATTATTTCAAACCACAAATTACACAGTAGGTATTATAATCGGCCTTATTTTCATTCAGGCCCTCATTAAACAGGTTTTTCTTAGCATTTACTATATTTATATAATTATTTATGCATTGCATGTCTAAGCTGCAAACTCAAACTACAGACTGCGAAATAAATTAGATTAAAAATGATTTTTAAAGTGAATTTGTGGAAGCATTTCCCTCTCGTTTGCTTATCTTCAATGTTCTATGGACCTCAAAATACTTGACTGCATCGAATTATATTAGCAACAGGGGCTGATTCATCACCTATCGGCATTTAAATACATTTTCTCGGTTTCAAAATGTCAACAAATTTTCCATAATTTTGAACAATGTTTTCAGTTCATTTGTCTAAGCGCCGGCAAATTGTTTTGAAAGGCGAAACGTTGCATATTGATTGAATTTTGAAATGAAAATAAAATATTATTACTTTATAATACTTTAAAGTAAATGGCAAATTAAATAAGCCGCTTAACATTTAAGCACTTGGCTTGAACTTTTAGTTTGCAATTCAAATATACGACTAGTACGTAGGTATTTGTGTTTGTTTTTCGACACAAATAAATAAAATGAATAATTCAATTGTAAAACAGCAACATCGCGCGGAAAAAAAACCAAAATGGTGGACAATCGCATTATTATTGTTTCTGTTATTTCAGCTGATTTGCCGTTTGTCAAACGATTAATCATTTTCTCCTGACATATACACAAACGTTGTCATGGGTCGGATGCATATATTTACATATGTACGTATATTAAATATATGTACTATAAGTTTCGGTTTTCAAGGCACAATTATCATGAATTATGGAAAACATGAGGGGGAAGCAGGCGCCACTTAACAACAAATTGATTATATTTAACAATTATTTGCTAACATTTCATTGTTTAAATGTTTGATGAGGATTGGAAAAAGTGAAAGGGAAAATATAACTTAAATGTTTATACAGATGCAGCGTCATAGATCAGGACTTATTTCTTATAAGTCTTGAGACTTGATAGGTAGTTCCTCTCGTACGAATAATTAGCCATAATAAGGTATTATCTATTTAGTTATAAAATACTTTTCGTAATAGTCTATTACTTAGGTACTTTTAGGTTCTATAGAGAGCTGCTTGGCGTTGTTGATTATATCAACTACAAAGTAAAACGCATAAATAATTGTTGTTGGCATGCAAATAGTTTCATTGCGAATTGAATTTGCAAATACAAATAGCGCTCGTCATGTTTCGGCAATTGTAGGCTGATAAACAATTTGTGCTTCAATTACGTCTTCGTTTAATTCCTTAGTCGCAATTTCCTGCCATTACATTCGCACTCAGTTCTCACTAAACAACAAAAGCGGCAAATAGAAACAGTCATTAACATTACAGACTCACGTGGCTGGCACAAAGTAATTGTCAAATGACACGCAGATCCCCCCTTGACACCGCTCTGGTGGTGATCGGTGACTAATGCCTATACTATTTGCAGTAGTGTATGCCTCGGTGGACGAACTTTTAACAATAATAAATTTTAAACTGTCCGGCTGTGATTGAAAACTGGCCGGCTACTTAGTTCAATGTCACGTAAGCACTGCAATGGCTCCCAGTGGGCTGTCTGCCTGTCTGTCTATAATGCGCAGCATCCTTCCCCCTCCTTCTCCCTTCTCCCCCACCCACGTCATCTTTCAACGTCAACGCCAATGCGAACGATGCCTCTTTATGTTAATTTATGTGCTGGCCAAAATGTGCAAGTGCTAATGCTCAGCCACGCATGGCGAAAGCCCAAAATCAGAAATAAATTATAACGTCAGGCAGGCGCAGACTCAGACATACACTCACGTGTATGTATTGTATACACACTTAATGGATGTGTGTGTGTGTGTGTTTATGTGTATAGTATGTTATAATGAAAATCCAAAGCATTATTCAAATAGTCAGCAGTTGCAATGTCAATGTGTGTGTGTGTGTTCCCTCCTCTTCATCCAACATCAGCCAGATCGAGATCCAGTCAGCTCCTCTGTTGTACAGTCAGTCCGCCAGTCAGTCAGTCAGTCAGTCAGTCCGCCAGTCAGGCAGTCAGTTCTTCATTCATTCCGCCAGCTTTAAACGCATCCAGCCATCCATCCATCTGCCTGGTTGCATGCCACACATATTTGCAGCTGCTGCCAGCATTCGTGGCTGTAAATTTAATGAGATTTCTGTCAAATTAATTTCCGGTTATGATTAGATTTTCGTTAATAGCAATTTGCGGTTTTTGCAGGCAATGCAACCAAACGTGCCGAATGTGTGCAAGTCACTGTATGCGTATGTGTGTGGCAAACACACACACACACACCCATTCGCATGTTGCACTGTCATTTTACATTTGCATTTTACAAAGTGTCTACGCAATTATCACTACACGGCCACTACACAACAAATTGCTGGCCGAGCTCCTTCCTCCTCGACGTTATCATTGACATTGTCGCTTTCAAGGCCCACACTGATTAACATTTCGTTGTTTGTTGCTCATAAATCATAAGCCGATGCCCTCAACTGTGAACACATTCCCAATTCATAGAATTGACAGCATGGCAAGCAAGGCTGTGGCTGTAAGTTCTCGGCTTTTAATTAGTTGGATACTCGTACTTACCTTTCCAAATTCAAAACTGCAGCTCTTCAAACTTAATGCCGCTGCTGCAAAATTGATAACTTAATTGCCGATGTCATCAAAGTGCAGCAGAACTATAATTATAATGCTTAAGGACTTAATAACTTGCAGCTCTTTCGAAAGATGTTGGTTCTCTGCCAGCTAGCACATTGCTTTTAATATACACTTTATAAGAAATCGATTATAAGAAAACGCTTATCACATACGAGTATTCCAGCAGACGACAACTTTTGATTCAGTTCGGGTTTTTTCTTGTTAAAGTTGTCCTAAATGGACTTTACTATGCCCATTGAACCCTCCTGGGAATTTGCTAGCAATTGTTGCCACAAAATTTCAAAATGAAGCAGAATCAAAGTTTGCGTCAAGCGCATGAAGAACGCATGAAAATTTTAAAAATTTTTGCACGTGCCACAGAAAATTGTTGCTATAGCATACTACAAGTATAATGAAGGCCGGGGGGCTGGCTCGGGCTGTGCCCGATTTCTGGCCCAGCAAACAATGCGAAAGCTTAAAATTAAACAATTTTGCTTGATTTTTTCTTTTTTAGCATTTTCATGCTGGTGAGAATAATTTGCTGTGCACGTGTGTGTGTGTGTGTGTATGTGTGTGAGTGACAAATCACAGTTGGGGAATCGCCGAATCGTGGAGTCACGCCATCACTATAGAAGTTGGGACAGACGAAAGGGACATGGGACACGGGATACGGGCTACGGGATACGGGATACGGGCAGCGGGCTACGGGGACAAAAATTCAAACAATCAAAATCAAATTCACCAAAAAACTCATTTTAACGCGACAAACGTAACGTTCAATCTTCCAGAACATTGCGTACGTGACACGATTGTCACATTTGGCAACAGAAATGCAATTGGGGGAACGGTTACAGCGATTGTGGCATGGTTGTTGCTCTTTTTGTTTGGGCCCCGACAATGGGCGCGTTTTGTTTTGATTTCTGCTTTTGCCAATGCAAATGAGCTCTGGCCAGAGGATGGGGAGCACACCAGGAGGGGTAGGGCAGGGAATGGCAGGGGGAAGGGGGAAGGGAAGAGACAAATGAAGGCGGCACCTGACTTACCTGACAAAAAAGAGAGAGTATTGACTCTTGCAATGGAACTTCCAAGTACTTTCAAGTGCCTGACCCAGCGACCCAAAATTAATTGAATTAAATTTGTTATTTGTTATTTGTGTATAAATCATTTGAGGCCTGCCTTGTGCACTTACGATCACGTAACTCGATGATGTTTGCACAATTTATTATTTTGCGTTATGATTGAATTCCTTTGCTGTTGACTCGACTCAATGAAGTTCTATTGGCAACAAAATATGCAAATTGAGTTGACTGCGAAGGCATTGATTGGCTACAACCAGAATTACAATAAAAATGATGCAAAAATCATCGGTGAATGGAAAGGGCTTTGGTTTCTAATATTTAAGCAAAGCTGTATAGTTTTCCTTATTTTTATTTCATGAACAATTTAATTTTGTTGGCTCTGCTGCTTTACTTGTATGTTGCATTGCATGAGTTGCAAAGTAAGGCTACTACCCGTATATTAAAGCGGCTTATACCGTTTTGAGGCATTTTTCACATACACTCTTGATATAACTTAAGCAAGCCCACCTTTTCGATTTCGCTCAATTGCCGTTGCTCTCCCCCAACAAACTGGCATCAACCCCTTGACAATATCAAACTAAAATTGAAGCCAACGCCCGAGGGCTGACAGACGCACACGCACACGCACACCACAACAGGCAACAGACAACAGACAACGTACAACATAGAACATTGAGGAGCATGTCTGCCCCAAAATGTTCAACTAACACAACTCACGCATTTCAATTACATGCCAACATTTGCACAGTTGCCAAGCTGACAAACTCAATTGTATGAAATTTGGGTTAAAATGATTTCAAATCAGTTGAAAAGCAATGAGAGCCTGTCGAGGTGCTGTTAGAATGCCTGCCAGCCAACCGGACAGACGTCACTGGACAGGGCAGGCCAAAGCGGAGTAGAGTTTAGTTAGTTAGATGACCAGCAAGTGCAGACTTGTGTCACGTTCAAGAACTCTAAACAGGGGGAAAATTAGTTTGATGCCGCACAGACACAAACAGACTAGCACACACACACACACACACACACACACTACACACTCATACGCACTGTTGGACATGCCAAAAAGTGGGCGCTGCTCAGACACATCAACAGGAAACGCATCTGGCTCTGGGCAGCGGCTGCCTGTCAAGTGGCAGGGGCTGGCTGTGGTGGACAGTGGCGGGAGCGGTGGTTCCGTGGCAAATGTCAACAGCAATTGGGAATGCCGAAAGTGAAATCAAAGCCGATGCCAAACAGCCACTAGAAATCGCCCAACCCCCCTTCGAATTCACATTCCCATTCACACATGCAATCGAGTGAAAGTGCTGGGGCTGAGCTTAGTTTTGCAGCCATTTTCAAAGTGAAATGCCATTCCATTGACATTTGCTGATATTTTGTAAGCAACCAGGAGCTGGCTACAGGTCTGTGGGGCTTTTGAGGGCGGGGTGCGCTCGCATTTCACACAAAAAATAGGCAAAAAGGTTAACTTCTGCTCTTCACCGAAAACATAATACACTTTGCCAATTCTGTGGATTTGAATCCAGTTTTGTGCTGCTAGCCAGCTCGAGCTGATCAAAGCTGTGGGTGCCAAGTTTGACGTATTAGAGTCTAGTTTAATCAGGCATTTGGATGTGTTATAGCTTACCCAACAATTAGGTTTCTTCATCGGCAATTAGTCTTAAAATAAACTTTACTCAGTGTAACTATTTGAAATAAATTTAAACTATGAATAAATTAATGAACATATTGAACGAAGATGACTGTGAAGCTTGGAACATTATCGATTTGTAATATTTTATGGTGGCAACAAGTTCTCCATTTTAGAGTCGTAACTATCTTGCTGATTGATACTGATTATTGAAATTTGGAGCAAAGCAATGATGTGACCGAGCACTATTGGAAATTACAATAGAAAATAGCCAGACTTGCTAGTAAATCTTTCCGCGCCACACTGAAGAATATTAAATTAAGATTGTTACTATGTCTATTTGTTTGTTTACTTACTTTCCCTTTACTGCTATTTGTTCTAAAACACATGTGGCAGTGAATTGAGGAATAGCTGATCAGATGCTTCTTTACAGATTTGTGCTCAGATTTGTGAGTTAAATAATAATTAAATAATTGATAACCAACCTCTATTTACTTTGACATGTTTTTCAATAATTTTTCTTCACATTCACGCCAAATTTGGAGTTTATTGCATTTTTGTGCGTTGCCAAGTATCACAAAAAGAGTTCTGAGGCTTCTCCTTCTAAGGGCTCCATACAGGTCCTTGATGGTGGGCTGCAGCTCACCTGTCAGCCTATCCGTCTGCTGCGTTCGAGTGCACGTATCGGTCCATGTGGGTTGTGTGCGATGGACGTTGTGTACAGAAACGAAAACGAAATTAGTTTAACGGCTACCCCTCGAAACGTTTAGGGGCTGTGCTGCCTTTGCATTGCCGTCGCCTTGTCCGCTCCCTCCTCATCGGCTGATCGGCCGTTGGTAGCCTTTCGTCTGCCAGCTTGCTATCAATTCTAATTACAAATGTCAACAATGATTTTTCGGCCATCCCCCAGGCGTTACTTGGTTGTTGGGGCAACTACAGACGACAACGACAACGGCAATGGCAACGACGATGGCAGAGGCATGAGGGCTTGATTAATGTCACGCGTTGCAGTCGTGGAGCTTTATCTCAGTATATATATATATACAAGTATATGTGTGTTTGCGTTTGAGTTTGTGGATGCGCCGTTGCGGTGCCTATTAGAGGTCTAGTCAGCTACGGATATTGCCGCCGTCGCCGAGTAGATATGCCAATGAAGTAGTGACTTAACTAGCAGTTAATTGGCATTGTTGCAGCTCAGCATCTGAAACGCATATGACATGAAGGGGCAGATTCGTAAATGCCACATGTGGATTGTGCATCAGTTCGGAGATAATCAGTAGATGTCTTAGTTTTGGAATGTTAATGCTTCCTTAAGGTACTCACTCAAGTTATGTCTCCCTTCAAATAGCAATGGATTACAAGCACTTCCACTGACCTTGGCACTCGCTCATATTCTGTTGCCTCGGTTATTATTTCTGTTATTGTTCCTGTTATTGTTTCGATTATTATTATTATTATTATTTGAATCCTCTTCCTCCTCTTGACCAAGGCCGCAGCAGGCGGAGAGCGTCAAGCAAGGACAGCACAAAACCATAACGACGCACAGACAACATAATATACAGATGATAATGACAATCAAAATAATAATGTATACAATACGGAAGGCGCTCTTAAAGGGATTGCCAAATTTTGCCATTTTTTCAATATAAATTTTAGGTATGACAAGAGGCTCAAAACAAGTAGAAAAAGAAAATGAGAAAACAAACCAAAGACATTATTTCCAATAGCTTCTACTGTTATTTGAGGAAGCTATGCTCATGTCCTCGTTAATTAATCGTTCTTTAACTGCCAACCACCATTGAAGTCTTAAGGCTGAAGACCTTTACTCTCGTTTGAACTATTACCTGAATCTTGTTATAACTCTTACATATACTTGTATGTGCGTATATTTCATGATGATTGTCTCATTTAAATGAAAGTGGCTTTATTGTAATGGTTATTTTCAAAATGAATCTCAGCAACATTTTCATATTTCTCTTGTACAAATGCTCCAGCTGAGGCCGAGCTGCTCGTTTTCCCTGCAACCACAGTCATTATGCAAACTTTTCACATTAACCAAAGTGCCGTTTATTAAAAATGCATTAATCGAACAAAAACTAAAAAGCGAAGCAAGTCTGTGCCAGCAGAAAGTTAGTCGAACGCAACACCCAGCACGCAGACTCGCAGACCCTCAGTGAAAAGTTTAATTGATTTGGCCATTTAAAATGGGAAAATAATTGATAGATAGACGATGGGTTGCGTGGCACGCTTCAAATTTAATGAGCATATTGGCTAGAAAGTCGTTAAACTATTTACATTTCAATTACCACCACCTACTTTTTTTTTGCATATAAATGTAATTGTAGAATTTTAGTTATATTAATTAGAAAAGTTTTGCGGCGCCAAAATAAGTGTAATAAATGTGTCGGTCGCTGCGGCAAAATTGCAATTTTGATGAAAATTTCAATTCAATTGCGCCCCAACATGCACACAAATACTTTTGTAAAATGAAACTTTGTTGCTGCTAGATTTATTCACACACACACATGCATTGGTTTATATATATATACAAGTATATATATATAGATATATATGTATAAATGTGTTTCATAAAATTTTGACCAATAATACCTACGATTCAGCTATCTATTGGCCACAAAGTAATTGAAAACGCATGCATCAATGCAAAACGAATCGAAATCGCGCACACAGCATTGAAAAGCCATATTGAACTTTTGGGAGAGTCTGGCGCTGGATGTGGTTGTGTGCCTAAAGGCCTCTGCCCGCACCTTTGATGGGCAGTGGGTTCCATTCACTCTTCAAAACGTTAGGCATGCACAATATAAATTTTGTTTGATCCGTTGTACAGTGGTTCGAGTGCAATTCAAATTCCGATTAGTGGGAAAATACAAATATGAATACTTGACTAAAACCAACCAGAGATCAAAATTCTTAAAGCGACATATTAGTTTATTAAAAATTAAGGAATGCAACTAAATATCTAAAATGATTTTTCAGTTGGCAAAGAGTTTTCTTCCTTTCAATAGAACCAATTCATTTACAGTAGCGTTTCAAATTCGAAGAGTTTGTTTCAGTTCATGGTTTTGAGATCAGAATACTTTTCATTCCCTGAATACTTGTAGATGTTATGTGTCTTCAAAGCATCTTATTCGACGTAATTATTTCACAATTCGTTGTCTTTCTTACTTATCATCGATATGCTGCTTTTCGATATTCTCTGTTATATTTGTTTCCAGTTGCTTAGCAAATACAATTATTTCTTGCTCAGCCACAGTGCGTCCCCAAAAAGCAGACTATACTTTTCAACTATGGCGTCGGCGTCGGAGCTGGCGTCGTCGTTGGCATCTGACTGTGTGCGTGCCATTTTAATTACCATTTTGGACACACACTGGCACAAAAATATGTATATACATATACATAAATTTATACAACGGTAGCCAAAATGCATGAGAAGTTGTTGCCATGGTTTGTGTTGCTGTTTGTATTGTTTTTGTTGCTTTTCATTCGAGTATTTCATCAAAATCGAAACATAACGATATGAAATTGTGCGCACATACAAAAGAGGAGCATGTCATGGTTTGTAATTATCGTACGCACATTTATTTGGTTATTTGCGTTATCTCTCTGTCTGCGTGTGTGTGTGTGTTCTGCCAAAGCCCGATATAACGTTTCATTAAAATTTGTTGGCTGGGCTGCTGCTGCTTTCTGTATGATTTGTGGCTGGCGATTTGACGAATTGCAGTCGTTTATTTGCATTTACTTATTCGAGAATTTGAGAAGTTGCCCAATACATATTTTGCTGGGAATATTTTAAGCTTTTGCGATATTTGAGCACTTTACAGATTTTGCAATCGTTTTATGGCAGCAGGCTGGGAAAATCGACGAAAAGTCATAATTAATTTATTTATAGTATAGTATGTGTTGTCTGATATGAGCCAGCAAAGTAATTGTACAGTTTTTGTTTTCAAAAACTACCGAATATAATTGCGCAAAGCATCTTAGATGAATTTCATTTTGCTCTTTCAAGCATAATGCGAATCATAGATATTATATGGAGAAGCATTTACAAAAGTTGTTGAAATGTAAATATTTTATTGTTATTGAAATGCTTTCTGATTGATGGCAAGCGAAAACAAATTGATTTCTTTCCTAAATTTGCTTGCAATAAAATAGAATTTAGTTTTGGAATTATGCAGCATTAATATATATTTTGTGGGTGATAATTACTTTAAGAAGATTTAGTTTTGTAAAGCTTTGTTGAGAAAATCAGAATTGTCTACAGCAAATTGTGGGCTTGCATTCGTGCATTAAAGTGGAAGATAAATTTAAAATCACACTTGAAATAATTCGCTATTTTGTTATCAAGTATAATCATTTAACTGGCTATTGTTACCAAAATAAACTTTTAAAATGCTCAGTCCAGTAGACCCGATTCATGGTCTACATTAACCACAAACCAAAACTTTCAGTGGCTCTGCCAGCGGCAGCAACAGCAGCAGCAGCAGCAGCGCATTAAATTATGCAAAATTGTACAATTATGTTAATTAATTGACGCGGCCAAAGACGTCGTTCTGGCCGGCAATTAGCGCCTTAAAACGGAACTGAAGTGATGACCGCCCAAAGGAATATACTATACTTGTAAAAGCCCACGGCCAAGAGCACCACCTCACCAAAAAATAAGCTAAAAAGAAAAGGGAAAGTAGCCCCTTGAGGGCGTTGGGAATTGTAATGCCACGCCCGGCACCAACAAATTATGAATCCTGCCTACATAATTAGCATGAAATTGTGTGATTTTCGAAATGTGTGTGTGTGTGTGTTTGGAACAAAAGCGCAGTGCTGCAAAAATGGGCCCAAGCCGAGCGGAGCCGAGTTGAGCTGCCAACTGGTTTTATTAATTTCATAATTCAGCAGTTGAACAATGAAAACCTGTCGAGGCAGCAGCGCGCAACATTCTGGCCATGTTGTGTGTTAGCTTAATTATTGGAAAATTAATGAATATGCCAGCCAGTAGATGTTTCCATTAACTGCCAAATGGAACGTACTGCCTGCCTGGGTGGCGTATGATTAATAACAGCAGCATCGTGATGGGCATTCAGCTTTAAAAGCGGCCAGCGTTGATTTTAAATTTGAGCAGGGTATACGGAAATGTTGAATAATTATGCCAACAAGTTTCTGATGAATGCAAGACACCATAGATATACATATTGGTATGATGAGGTAGGTCGATAGACCAAGTTCGAGCTCTGAGGTGAGGTGAAAGAATTTAATTTAGTTCGTAGATGATGGAATAAGGACTCCCCATGCGTACTTCTCACCAAAATTGCATTGAAATCGTTGAACTAAATATCATTCATTGCTAAAAGTTTGCATTAAATCCAATTAAGCGCCAGTCGTTTATTCAATTTTTGTTTAATAAAGTATATGTTGGCTTAAGGGTGTAGGTGAGGGAATTTTTAATAAATTTCCCTCTCTTTTTCTTTGCACATTTTGTCTTCAATATAAGTATTTCAATTCGTTGGCGCACCCCTCGAGGTATGCAACAAAAAGCCATGAAATATTATATGCCACTTGCTGGCTTTTTGATCTTTTCATGTACATATAGTATATGTTTGTACATACTATACTCGTATATGCACAGATGTGTGATGGCGAGTGTGCGCTGAATATTTGCCAGTTTTTAGCCCATTTTCACATGTGGAGAAAGGTAAATATTTGCACTTGTAAATGACATTCACGTGCGCGAAGAGGGGCGTTTGCTCGACTTTTTTGCCACAGTTTTCTTGCCTTTTTTTGCTGCCCCACTTCAGTGTTTGATCGCATGTGGCACAGGGAGACATGCTCTTAACCCAAACATATTGTGTGTGCCATGTATATTACTCATAAATCGGCTTAAAAAAGTGAACGTCGGCCCCTAGCGTTAGCTCCTGCTATTGGGTTCGCACTGATTGCGCGTCTGCCGGAGACCAACAAAAGTGCATTTGTTTTGTGGGCCCCTCGGGATGGCCACGTTTACATTTGCGTACGCATTTAACGCAAGACGCGCAAAAAGCTTTTCCACTGCCAGTTGCGGGGCACTTGACTTTCTTTCAACAGCGCTATGGGAGTGAAGTTCTGGCTACAGTTTCTGATTCCTGCCACTTGTTGTGCACTCCCTGCCATGAATCATAGAAATAGGAATCAGTGTATGTGTGTTGCGCTGGCGGCCTCAATCGGGGGCAGCTGTTGCCATTTTTGAACTGCAACATGCTGGGCATATATATGTTTTTTCTTTGATATTTTGCGTGGCCTACATCAAGATTTTTGCAGCAGCTGTTTAAACTTGTAAGGGCTGCTTTCTTGTCTTAAATTCTGACCGATCAATCAACAAAAATTACATTTTAATAATAATAGGAATAACTGTTACATTAGACGTTTTAGCCTTTATGAAGGTAAAGGTTAGGGTAGAAAATGTTGTCCATATCGGCATGGCTACTCGTATATCAAATTACCTCATCGTTTTCTTTATAGAAAATGCTATTACAAGGGCATGGCCCTTCCGAGCGCATTTAATTTTTGTCTGCAAACCAAAACGCTTATGCTTTTAATTGGACTGTTAAGCAGGAAGGGCAGTCAGCGGGCAAAACACACATTTGCTTACATAGGAGAAAATTATGCAAAATGGTCTTCTTGCGCTGAAAATTCTAATGAGCATGCGAATGGGAACGGTAAATGATTAGCCGAAAAGGGCAAACGCGTAATGAAGAAACCGAGGAGTCAGCGGTTTGCCCGTCTGATTTGGCTTTTGTGCAATATTCTGGGTAGAAATTATGCAATGCCCTTTCAATTATGACTAATTATGAACAATGGTTGTTGCTTTCTTTCAGCGCGTAATCCGCAGGATGACGCCGAGGTGATTTCGGTGCCGCGGCGCAGCGAGTCGGCTGATCCGGTTTTCCGTGACTTTCAGGGCGTCATTGATACCGGAGTTGGATATCCCTTCCTGCAGCCAAATCCCCCGCCTTTCGCGCATAATCTGGGCTTCTTCGATTCATTTGAAGGTGAGTTGGAGCCCGAACACGTGGCGTATGCGTAATGAGTGCGCGTGCCATATTAATTAAAAATATTTTAATGGGGCAGAAAATTGTGAACGCCTCAGCCACGCTGGTTGCCACCGTAATTATTGCATTGAATGCAGTTTTCACATGTTATTGAATTGCATGACGATTCGTTATGGATATTATTATACAGATTACATATTACGTATTACAGTTTATATGATGACGATAGGCCTATAGCGCTGATTAATGTCACGTGCTGTGCTGGCGAATTCTTTGGCCAGCTGAATAATTTGCAATCTCCACGATTAAAGAGCCAATTAGTCAGCAGACATGTTATTTATGGTCTGTCATCAAACTGAAAGAAAGAGAGTTAAATTACAGAGCTCTTGGCACTGTCCCTGCCTCCTTACTTTCACCCTCGAACCGAACACAACGATTTATCATAATATTATATGAAAATGAACATTTTTAGCAAATGCGCCGACAAAGTTTCAGAAAAACAGCCTTATTTGTATATTGATATATTCATGTACTATACGGTTGTGGGAACGCCCAGCGGCCGACGGCGGTCAAGTCTGACGCGTTATGACCATTAAGAATGAAAAGTTTGCGCTTTGAAAATACATTCATAAAATGGCGCTTAGCTAAGATGTGCAACTTGGGAGCGTTGGCTTCATAAATCTTCCATCGCAACGCAAAAAATGAAGAAAATACAGAAACAAAAAAGTGCGCAGCAAAAGTTTTAAAGCCAACGGCATTTTATATGCATGGAACTTTTATTTAGCAAGATAACAAGCAGCAGAAGAAAAAAAACATAAGCAATGCCAAACTTGAGTTATTTTTTCGATACACTCTTACAGAGTGAGGCAGTTACGTTTATGAATGACGTTAGTTACGTAAGAGTGTAAGTGGGGAAAAACAAGAAAACAACAACGGATTTATTTAAGCTTTAAGAGCTGAACTTTGTTATGCTTCGAGGCTAGAGTTCCTTTTGATAAATTCCATCCTTTATCGAATTAATCTAAAATACGTACATCTTTGTAAGTCAGCTAACTTGGATTCATCATGAAATATATTCGCATTTTGTGGAGCTATTCTTATAGTTTCTAGTTTAAAAGCAGACATGGGATGGAGCTGGATGTCTTATATCTTCAAAATTGTCTCAAGCTCGTCCTTAAAAATATTCAATATGATTGAAAAGGATTCAGTATTTTCGGCCTCGTGCTCCATTTCATCATGATAGGTCAATTCTGAAGAAAGTTTTCTACTCAAAGCTCATTAGAAAGGGAACAAATTTAAAAAAAAGTTAGATATATGTAGAAAATTTAGTTTTTGAAAGACTTTAGAATCCTACAGAGTGTTCAGATGGTTTCAATTGAAGCTATTTATACGCTTCTTGCGTTTTTAGACAATTGTATAATGTTTTAAACTATTTAAGTGCACAAACAGACAGATTTTGGACTTATGTTTGCAAAAATAAAAGCAGAAAAAATAAATTAACCGACTGAGTTCTGTTTAGGGACTGGGTTTTCAAATGCTTGACTTGCCAAGCCAACAGTTTTGGGAAATTGGATCCTCAAATATCTATACAAAAGCTTTTCAATGCAACTTCTTCAAGCCTAGAATATTTACTTTAAAGTTAATGTAGGAAAAGTTAACAACTTATATTCTAACAAATGTGCTTTTTGTAACAGTTATCGATTAAAAATAGTTATTAACGTTTTAATTGGAGAGTCCACATTTTAAGGGAAGGGCATTGAATATTCTTTGTGGGTAACTTGAATGCTCGCCAACTGTTTTCAGCAACTAAATTGGCATAAGCCATAAAAGTTAAGTGGAAAATATTTGTGCGTGGCTGACAGATTGGAAACTTTAAGCTTTAGGTGACCTTGAGGAGAGTTCAGTGACTATGCCGAGTAGACAACTCGGAGCAGTGGGACACTGATCCGCAACTAATTGTGTCAAGCTCTTAGGCAAATTTAACAAATGAGGCATACACTAAACACTTTGAACTCTTAAACGCATTACGGTGAACTTAAAATACCAAAGCGAACAATGCGGTCAAGTATTTATGACAAGGTTCCAGACACAAGACGACAGAAAGTGCAACTAAAGCGTGGCATGTGAAAAGTGCAGCATATGTTGCAAGTAAGATTAGTTCGCAAGCAGACGACAAAGGCGATGGGTTGGGATGGCGGCGATGGCGACGATGGCGATGGCGATGGCGCGACATAGAAAACGCTTTTTAGTGCGCTTACGGATTAAGGATTTTAAACTGCAAAATACATTAGCATAGCAAAACGGTGTCTGGCTGGGCTGGCTTGTTAGTTGTCTGGCGCCTGCTCTGGCTTGGCGCAGTTTCTCCGGCTTGGCAGACAACATGGCACTTCGACGCACCTGCCACAATTCCCAGCGTTAAGGTCGTGGATGCCTTTGTAGGTTTTTTCAATTTTCTCCGCTTATCATTTTAGTTTGTTTTGGCGTGAAATTATATTTCCCACATCACCACACTTATCCTATACTCACCTAAATGTACGAAATAATACTTATATATACGTACTATATAACAAGAATATTCGCATATTTTTTGAAGATATTCTGCGTCGCTTCCGCGCTCGTCTCTGGCCCGTGGTCCCCTCTGAAGGCGGCAGCGATGACTCGAACGACAGCTCCGAGTCCGGGCTGGGCTCTGCCTTCGGGTTTGGCCTGCGTCCTCTGATTCCGCTGAAGCCGCTGGACCCCAAGAACGCCAACACCACGTCCACGGTTAAGGTGAGCGCCTCAGTCTTTCCAGTGCTAAGCCATATTATTAAACGCTTCGAGCTTTGTCGCCCAGGTGGTTGATGGCCACAAGGTCGAGGTGAACGAAACGGTCTATGGCGACGAAAACAACGTTTTCAAGGTGCGCGTGGTGAACGTGCGTCCTCTGGCCAGTGGTGAGGAGGTGGCAGAGGGTGTGAGCAGCAGCCAGGGAGGTGTTGGTGGCCAGCAGGCCCCTCAGTTGCCCAACTATGGACCCAGCACTTCGGCCCCCAGAAAGCGCGGCGAGTTCGACGAGTCCGAGGAGGATGATCGCCGTGAGCCGCTGGAGAAACAGCCGGCCGATAACGAGGTGCGCGACATCGACAGCGCTCAGGTATAAAGACATCACTAAATTGTGAAAATGACAATTTGATAAACATTATACTTGTACAACTAAAATTCTAACCAGGCGCAAAGTTAACTTTTTGATTTAGAAAAGAAACTATTAACTCACATGCAAATGCCTAAAAACTTACAGATATGGCGAATAACTATAACTTTGTTTATGCGCAGCACTAACCGACCCTATATATAATGTACTTGTACTATATATTTACCTATAAACAAACCCTATATGCGAAATGAAAAACTGTAAACTTGTAATATACGCAACTTTCTAATTTTTCTAAATAAAGTTTTGCAAACCAAACACTCTGTATATATATACTTGTAGATATACTATACATACTTGTATGTAGGCCTGCTTTCTATTACTACTTATAATTATGACAATGAATATTATTATTACTTTTTATTCCCTATGCTAATGCTAATTTAAGAGTTTGTACATTTTAATCAACTGGTGCAAGGAATTTTATTTTATTTATTTGGTTTTTTTCGGCTGCGGTTTTGCATTTATTTATTGCTTTGTTTTTATGCTGGTCGGCGAATGCGCGTTAATTAAATACAATTTGTATGTGTGGCAAACAAAAAATAGTTGTAAATTTATGGCTTGCAGCATTTGTTTTATTCGGCATTGCTTTTCACACAAACAAACACACCAACACACACAAACGCATTGTTACAGCAAGTACGGCTACCACTCGAATGCATTTTTCATTATGAAATTTATTTATTTTTAATTTCTTTACAAATGCCATAATTAAGTTTTGTTAATTTGCCAGGCCAATAAACTGGCAGACCACAATCGTAAATATTTTATTAACATGACAAAATATTTAATTGTGCATTTAGATTTTTTATTCTGCTGCTAGTTTCCTCTGCATAGATTTGTTATTACTTCTGATTATAGTTTTTTGTTCTCAGTTATGTCAATTTTGGCATTCAAATTATGTTTCAAAACTTGAATAGAAAGCTGACATGGTAGTATTGTATATGCAAATATTTTGTAAATTAATTTAATTTCAATTATCAAACGATTTATTTTAAAATCAATTTCATTCTCGACTCTTTAGTTTCTTTTAAAGAATTTGTTTGTTTGGCCTCTATGGGAATGCAGTATTTAGTCTAAGTTCTGTTTCATGTCCTTCTTTCTCTGCTGAAAAAAAAGAAGAAAATTCGTAACATTTTCAATAAATTATAGGCAATATTTATATTGAGAAAAATATATATTCTTTGTTAACTGTAAAACTTTTCACAATCTCCTATTATGCAAAGAAAGAAAAAAGACAGAGAACAGAAATTATATCTACATTTGTTTTATATGTTTATAACTGATAGTAAAGGAAAATAAATTATGAAAGAGATTAGATGCTAGCTATCATAACTGAAAATACTGTTACAACTAAAGCTAACCATCTAAGCTGGTAGGCTATTGATTTTAAATTGTTTGAAACGTTAATGAGGGGCTGTTTAGAAAAGCACTTTAACAGAAAAGATAGCAGAAATAGTTTTAGCGAAAACTAAGACTTCTCTTGCCAGACTTCTCATTGAATTAAGATCTTAGCTGGCATATAGTCCTGGCTAAAAAGCGCATGAATGGCATTTACATACTACGAGCATGTTCTATAGGTTCAAGCAATCTAAGCTCTAACTATTTACATTTAGACTTGCTCCATTACTCTCGCTAGACTTCTCATCGAATTACAGAACTTCTCTGCCATAAATTCGTGGTTTTGAGCAGCATCGTCCAGGAGTCTGTGGTGTATGTTCTATATGTATGGACCCTAGTGGCGTACATGCATCATATATGCGGCTTAAAGTCCATTAATTACTTTTAGCCACCGTAATAAAAATTAATTTTTATTAAAAGTCAGGCGCGGTGCGTGCATAAATCCTTGTCTTGAACACATTTCGTGCGGAGGCGTGTTGCAATATTTATGAGAATTTATTGTGGCGGAATCGACAACCGAGCGACTTTTGGCCATTTTACGAGTGCGGCGTGCAGGTAGCTTTCCCTCCTGGATGCATAAATCAGTGGGAAATTAATAAATGGCCATTGAAGGGCTTAAGCGACATGTCAAATGTTTGAATGGCGAAAATGTAAAATTTGTACAGAGACAGCCTTTTTTTCATTTCAACTATTTCACAAGTCATATACTCGTATGTTTTATTTAATTTCAATATAAACACCAGATTCTCTGTTATTTTTATATACTTTTTTGTCCATCATTACTGGCGGATATTGAAAGCTGCGGTTGTGTGTGTGAGTGTGTGTTGTTTGCTGTGGCTCGTTTATTTGAATTTAATATTCATGGTTATAAATATTAATACACAGACACACACACACACACACACCCTCTCATATACAGACCCATCTCTATATACAGCGAGGGGGCAAATGAGTGGCGCTTTGGGGCATCGTGCTGGAGGCATGGCCGCCGGAGCGAAAATTGCATTGAAATATTGTGCAATATGCCTGTTTGTTATTTGTGTTGTGCCATTATTTTTGTTAAACAATTTCCTGGTCCTGCCAGAGCACATGTAAATATAAATTTTATTATTAATATTTCCTATTAAAAACTCTACAAATATGCCAACCGCTCTCGCAAAGCTTTTCATAACTTTTGCTGCAATTGTAAAAATTACACTTTGTTCACTTTTGCATTTCAACTCACTTTTTTCCACTATTCTGCTTGCATTCAGATGAATTGGCGGCATTCCTTTTGAATTCCCCGCAAAATATTCGCATGAAAAGTGCAAAAACAGCGGAAAAGCTTACAATAACACATAAATATGTATGATTAAGCCACAATGTGTGTGTGTGTGTGTGTGTGTGTGTGTGTGTGTGTGTGCATTTATAATGACAAGGCGCTTAACTTTTGTTGCATGAAAAAATATGAACATATGTGGACAGGGAAGCGGCTTAAGTTAAGAAGCAGAGAGCTGCATAGTTTGCACATTTTTCATTCACTGTAGCCGTATTTGAATAAAAAGTGTATATTATATTTAATATGCAGAAGTAGACGTGGAATATCGCACAAGCTATATGTTTCCGATCACACATGGGACATTGGTTAGTCTGTATGAACGCAAGGATCTCGAGAAGTCCGACAAATTTTGGTGTAGTATTCTGCAGAGATGGATAAGTTTTCCCTCTGCATCCTTCTAATAGATAGGTGCAGTTATACAAGTAGCTCCTACAAGTAATAGAAATTAGTTTCCAACCATTGTAATCACAGCTTCTTTTAGACATCTTGCTCTTTGATCCTAAATGGAGAAATATAATTGTAATTACCTGATATCAACAATGCGGAATAAGTCATATAATTAGGTTATAAAGTCTTTCTGCTTCTGTGCAGATTAATCTCTCCAACTTGCAAATAATGCAGAACCAGCCTTACAGCCTTTAAGATTGAAATATAGGAATTTCTGAATGTAATTTAGTAAATAATGGACCTTGAGTGACAGTATTGTTTCTATTTATTTCCCAATTATTACCGTTTAAAGCTCATTTCGCAGAAGTATATTCTTTTCATATCCGAAATAACTCCACTATTATTTCAGTAGAAAGTACTCGAATTGCTGAATTTCTTTTCTGAATTGTTAAATGCCCAAAAATTATCTTAAGTCGCGGAGTTTTATTTTTCAAGAGAGTTGAGCCTAGATTTCTGCTTTTTTAAAATGTTTTAAGTCATTAAGAAATGAATATGCTTGTGCCTTATTCTTTAACTACACCTATTCGACAGTTATCGGCATTATGCAGAAATAGGGCGAAATTCCATGAACTGAGGCAACATTTAAGGCCCACATGATTAAATGTAGCGCCATTTGCTCAAATTCTCAGACACTTAAGAATAACAAGTTCGATAATTAAATCATCTTTATGCCTCAGCTCAGAAAACATTTCAATGAGCAAGCGCTCAAATATAAATAATGTGGCCAACTAATGCGTAAAATATACGGCATTATGCATTAATAATACAAATTTCTGCGAATTTCGTCTAATTTAGAAGCGAGTGAGCAACGATCTAAGGTGGGTGAGTGGAGGGCTGGCTGGAGGGGGAGTGGCATTCAAACAAACCTGAAGCTGTCATAGTGCCAAGAAAAATGAACTTGTGCGACGTCATAGTTACAGCTGTCGCTGCCATTGCCGCTTCATTGACCGACTGACTGACTGACTGACTGACTGAATGGATGAATGAGGGAACGACAAGTCGGGGACGCACAGACGATGTGCTTTGCATATTTATTTATTTATTTTTTTGAGCAAATGTATAAATGAGTGGTGGACGCCGAAGGTGATTCATACTCGCAGCGCATATTTAATTGCTGCTGAATGAATGAATGAATGCTTGAGCGAATGACTGACCAACACGAGAGTTAGAGAGATAGGGAGATAGATGAGAGATGAGAGTGTTGTGTGTGACTCAGCTCGTGCGTAGGCTTAGAACGCTGATTTTTGTATATAACTCGAAGTCGAGCTCAAACGCAGCTTAGTAGCAACATTTGTCCAAGAAGCGAAGAAGCAGCCGTTTGTGCGTAAGTTTCACAAAAACAATTATTAGTGCAAGCAAACTAGAAATTTAAATAAATGTTCAAAAGCATGCTGCTTGGCTTAAATTGTTTAACGCACTTCCAGAATCATTTCATGGCTAACTCTTAACTGTTGTTGCTTGTGTAGATATTTTTGTAAACCAAGTGAATTTCCCAAGCTAAATCGTTCTTTGAGTTTATAAAATAAATTGTTATTTCGAAAACGAAGCAAACTCAAACTATAAAAGCTAATTCAGTTTTGAATGCCAATGTTGTTCATTATTAACAACTCAATTTTGTAAAAAGTTGCTTACAATAACTTCAGCTAATCACAAGTACGGAACACGGCTTTTACTAAAACTCCATATGCTTTGATTGGCCCCAAAAATAATTGAAACTTTTATTCATTTATTTGCATCAACAACCAACCACCCACCCACCCACACACACACACACACACACCGTGCACTGCCACCCATATGCCACACAACCACACGCACACTGCTGCACAGCACTCAACAAACATCAGAGCTGCAGAAACAACAGCAACAACAACAATAAGCACACTAGCACCCCACCTGCCCACAGGAGACGCCATTGCGGAGAGCCAAGAAGACAGCGCACCGGTCGAGCCATTGCCAGAAAACAGCCATTTGATGGCAGCCGTACTTGAGGACATCGAGAACATGGAGCAGTTGGAGGCTGTGAGCCACCTGGCCCAGGACATTGCTGCTGTGGCGGACGAGTCGGAGGCACAGACAATTGCGCTTAATGAGGAAACGGAAACGTTGCATCACAGCGAGGGCGAGATGGAGAGCGACAGTCACAGCGACAGCGACAGCGACATCGAAGACCACCATGAGTCAGCGGCCATTGAGAGCATCGGCGTTGAGTCACCGGCCGCTGAAGCTGAAGCACCTCAGGCAGCGCCACAAGAGCCGCAAAAGCAGAAGGAGCGCGAGGAATTGGAATCGTCGGACGATGAGGAGAGCGGCGCCGGCGAGCATGTCGAGATGAGTCCCACATTCAATGCCGAATGGGAAACACTTGCCGAAGACTTGGCCAATAAGAATGATGCGGCTAACGATCTCAGCAACCACATCGACGAGAGTTTCGAGCACTTGGCGCCCATAGACCTGTCCCACGACATTGCTGTCAATGACATTGCCGCTGCGAATGCACAGTTCCCCTATAACCCCGATGCCGAGCTAATCGACATCAGCAACGTCCAAATGCTGCCGAAGTTTGAGAAGCTCACCCTGGCCATCGCACCGGCTGTGGAGCAGCAGCAGCAGCCGGAAGAAGAGGAACTGGAGATGGCAGAAACGCTGCTCCAGTGAATCTAGCCTATAGCATCTACTATATATATACATAGTTCTTAGCCTTTAGCATATTACGCATATTACTAGCTTATATACTCATTGTTCGAGCAGCCGCTCTAAATTTGGCCGATCATGTACATATTTATTGAGCACATCTATTCACATAAGCCGTCATGAATTGTTCAAAAGTATTACACAACAAGTGCAGATTTGTGCATGCGTGTCTATTTATTTATTTTCATAAACCATATACGAGATATCATGGAATTGTTTATTTATTTTGGCTATGACTTAAGCATTTGGGAGTCTTTTGTCAAAGTTTTGAAAGGTCTTGCTGGTATTTCCGAATTACTCTCAAATGAGAAGGTCCCCGATGACTTCTACGCTAAAGTAAACACACTTTAGTGCTGATTAAAATAATTAAATCACAACTTAATATTAACACTGCACTACAAATGCATCTGTTTAATATAATTGAAAGCATTCGACTGGGTCGGTAATGTTCTTGCCATGTCGATTGGATTGGAATTAGACTTTACTGTCGACCATTTATGGCCTTGGAAAGCTAAATGTATTTCCCTCCACTACTTCACTATTAGTGGCAGAAAGAGTTTGTAAATTGTATTTCTTTCCCTTTCGGCTCCGTGCGGATACATAATTAGAACTGATCATTATAAGCTTTGGATAAACTAATAACTACTTGTAATCTTTAATCGTTTTTCAATTACAAATAAGTGATCCAAAGTATTGTTATTGAAATGCTTTTGATGCGCAGTAACGTATATTGATACTAACTGATATCAGAACTGCAAAACATACTTTCAAAACTGTAAGAATAGTTCATTTTGAATCTTTACGGCATCTCTCCTCTCGACACTGAATACTGCAGTTCCGATATGGAATTGAGTAGAGTGCAGCAAACGAAGAACAATACAAATTTCCGATTGCAAATCTGTTGCTGGTTCCATATATGATTCCGGATCGGTTGAATATACTGTCGCAGATCAAGGCAAGTGTTCTGCAAAGGATCAAAAAAGTTGATCTAACAAAGGACTGTGTGTCCGATTGCCATTTCTAACCTTACAGCTCAGAAGTCTGGCAAAGTACACTTCGGCAGCTTGCAAGCTGAATATTTCGATGCGGAAGGCATAGTCCTTCAAATGCTCACTTATTTTAGTTATGTAATCGTTGCTCAGCGCAATAAGCAGCATATTGATTATTGGCGCTAAACAAGCTCCCAGTCGACTGCGCGTCACAGCAGTCCACTTTTCCAAGGCACTTGTGTGGCTCATACAAAAGATGATAAGCAGAGTGTTTGCCCAATCCATAATCATGTTCAGTATGGTGGAGAATAAATTGTCAGCTACGGGCAACCACAATAGGATGACGTGTTGATGCGCAACAATAATGTCCCCATATAGGGCGTAGAAGTCGAGCAATCTGCATCGCATTTGCAGCGAGGGAGTCCCGCCCCGCTGCAGGGATCGCAAGTAATGTCTAAGAAAGTCCAGAAGTGTTTTGAGCCAAGCCAAGAGTAGCAGCTGGTAGACGAAATAGGCGGCATAGAAGAAATCAAACAACACGGCTCTGTACATGGATATTTTGGGCTGGTTATCGAAATATATGTGCCTGATCTGCATCGAGGTAAGGGCAACTTTTAGAAGAAAAATCAATAGCAAAGGGCCAGCACATTCGAATCCATAAGAGCCGAAGCTTCTGCTCATTCTTCTGTGCAAGGCGAGGAGCTCATTAACAATCGCAATGCACATCTTATTGTATTTAAGGCTGTGCGCCAACATCAACATGCGAGCGAACTGCCAATTGGCGACGACGCCGATGAGGTACACCAATATCGCTGTATAGGTGGCGTAGTCAGGGTCTCCTCTCCAAAATCTCATTAACCAGTACCAGAGAAGAAAAACATATGTATAATAATCGGTTGACAGCAAAAGGAACGTGAGACACCAGGACAATAATTTCATTGTTTTTCGGCGTCCAGAAGCCACTAATTCTTTTTTTTCTTTGTCGTATTGGAACAAGCCGAGCCCCAGCAGCCGACAGCTGTAGTAAATAGCTAGGCTCAGGCTTTTCAGGATGTAACCAAATAGCAAATATTTCACTTTATTTCGCCGCTGTGGTGAGTGTTCACGTTTCTGTGCCGTTTCTGTGAGAGTGTTGTGTGAAGATCGCGCCATTTTATGCTACTGCTGTCGATATGGGGGGCCTTGTTTTAATCAACATAAATGCTTTTGGACTCTTTGCAAATGAAGTGGGGAAATTAGATTATATTGAGCACAATTACACGAAGATGAGGACTTATTAATTCTGTTAATTGTTATGCAGGGCTAATTTATTCTTATATTCCTACATAGAAACAGCAGTCGTAGCCCGTCGTTTCTGGGGCACCCTACGCACACGAGTCGAGCTGTTTTCCTTACAAGATTTATAAATCACTTAAGGTTTTTTAAATTATTTAAATAATGTTTCGAATTTTCTAGCATTCGTAGTCGTTCAAGTCGTATCTTCACAGCTCACAGAATCTTTAGGGAAAAGCAAGAAATTTCCAAATAAATTAATGAAAATAATAATTAAATAGGGTTCTTGAGAAGGCAGAATGTCATTGAGCTTTTAACAAATATAAGTTTAAATTGTCTCTAACTTTATGCAAGAAATGAGTTGAATGGTTTTTAAAAATTAAGTTTGTTTGAAAGACAAGCCTTTTAATCATTAGCGTAAGCTAGTTAATTAAAGCAAGACATCGCGAGCAGGCCATGAAAGAGTTTGCCACTTGACGTTGGCATATAAGCGGCCATTAAGCATACGCCGCATTGGCATTGGAATTGGCTCATACATCAATTTGTCATTTATGTCAGCATTAAATGGCGCATTACTCGTAGATGCTTGGGAGAGTAATTTAAAGGCTTTGCCACACGCCAGCATGCTGTGTGTTTAATATTTACGCATCAATTTCAATTTTCCTTTCACACACGCGGCAGCAGCAGCACTCGGCAGCACTCGGAGAATATTTGTTTGCCTTTCAGTGTACTCGCGTGTTTGCATTGTGTTTTTATATTTCTGTAGTATTTTTGTATTGTGGGCCCATTGAGTGCACAAGTGGCCAGCATACTGTATTTGTGCATTATGGCTCCGAGTTGGCGGGCCATCATCATCGGCAGTAATGGCAACAGCAACAGCAACAGCAACAAATAAAAGTTGTTAACGCTTATATGCAAGCATAAAAGTAATTATGGCGCTGCGTCCTTGTGTAATCCTGCCCGTAGTCAGTGGACGTCCTGCCTGCTTTTGAGTGGCAATTGGTGGCTGCCTCGCCATCGTTACACCTGTCTGCTCTCCGCGTTGCAGCTCGGCTGGCTGAGTTGCTTTGTGTTTGTGCAGCGGCTTGTTGCTGCCGTTTTTGTTGTAATCATTGCAACTTTTCAATTTATATTTACAACAGATGCTGCTCCCTCCAGTCCTCCAGTCCTCTGCCTTCGTCGTCGCCATCGCCATCGCCATAGCCATCTCCATTTCCATCTCCATGGCATCCAATCAACAAAATGCCAACCAAAACGAACCATGAAAACAATGCGCATGCCAAATGCACAAAAAAGGTGCACTCAGACATCATTGTGCTGGCTGCTCGGAGCTGCCCTGCAATTTTCTACATTTAATTATAGAGAAACATTGATTTGCATTTATTTCTGCCTCCCCTTCGCTCTTTGTTGAATATGCTTTTCAAAAGCAGTCGAAAAGAAACATCATACAGCGCTTTGATAAAGGATAAAATATTATGAAAGAGGACTTTGCTGGCACGTTGTTTTAAAGCCTAAATTATTGCTGAATTTGGGAATAAACAACAACAAGCAAATAAGGTGGAGGTGTTGGATTTTAACTGATAATTACAATAACATCCTCACTGAATGCTGTTGGTGAGTCCTCAGAACACATTCCACATTCCTTGTTGTTGCTTCTAAAATTCTGAATTAATTTAGGAATGTGAAGAAAGTCTGTCTTTAACTTTTACTAAAATGATGATAAAAAAAAATAAATAAAATATAAGCACAGAGAGAAGGAAAGGCGTATTTCTGCCACAGCTCATAACATTAAAGATCGCAACATCCTTAAAGAGAGAAGAGTGCGAGGATAAACATATTTGTTATAAGTTGGTTGCAAGTTAAATATCCCTCGGGCTATTCAGCGCTGTTGGCCAATGTTTCGCTGTTTTTCCAACGCGCTAACTTAATTTACGCTTCGTCTTTGTGAACGCTACCACATCAAAGACTTTGTTGAAATGCAATTTGGAGGAGCGAGAAATGGCGCCGGAAAGGCCAGTGTAGCATAAATGTTCCATTCTGGCTACAACGTGACAGTTTTGCCAGCCGTGTGTGGCAACCAAAACGAGGCAGCAGCACGGACCAGTGCCCCTCCCCAGGACGGTCGCCACCCAAGTGGTGGTTATAACACATACACACACTTACTATATATATTATACTTGTATGCACCCTCGCTTTTGTTTCCAGACCCAGCCAAGCCTGTAGCTATAGCTAAATAGTTTAATTCGCGGCAACGCTTTGCTGACGTCCAAAGCTACTTTTGTTTCTGGTCTGGTCTAAAAGACTAGCGGAGCCGGCTGTGGATTGGTGTTTGCTTTTGCGGTTTTTGCGGTTTGTTTGCGAGTTTCCCAGTAGTAGCTAATTAATTTTCATTTATTTGATAGTTGCAACAAAATGTGAAACGGAATGAAAAGCATTTGTTAAATACAACTCGGAAACTAAGAAGAAAGAAGTCAGCTAAACGGGCATGCAGTTAATTAGCTTAGCCAGTCTTCAGCTTTTGTTCCCTTTCCACACGATTGAGTAGTTCATTCATATTCAGAACTAGCTGCTCCAGGATTTCCTCCAGCAACGACACGCGATTGTTAAGGCTAAGAAAATAGAAAGAATATGTATTTGAAAAAATTATACCTTCAAAAATAGTGCTTACCGATACATGTCCTTATCTCTTACTTCCGGTGGCACATCATCGAAGTATCCACCCCTAGAGGAAATCAAGTGAACAATATATAAAGTAATTGATGTTTCTATATCTCGCCAATTAATGGCAAAACAGTTCTACAAATTGTTACTGAAAGTTTCTAGATTTTAAGAAGTATTTTAGAGAGTTGTTTTGAGTCAATACATTGGAAAACTATTAGCCATTTCTGCAAGTAATAGCAGTAATTTGATTTTCTTGGGAACTGAAATCGTTTCTTACTCGCGCGCCGTTATTCCTTTGCCCGCTTCCTTGGGCTGTTCCTGGGCACTGTTTATCGCATCCTCATCCACCTCCGACTTGCGCGTGGTCTTCACATGCTTCACCTCCGTGCGACGCTTCCTACCGCAATGCGTTATAAAGTAGAATATATTGCCCAACTTGCGATAGACATAGGAACCGAGCTGGCTGCGACCGGCGGTTATCTCGCCCTTGACCGAGTTGTATGTCTCCATGATAATGGCCAAGAACATGTTCTATTGAAGGTGCAGAATTGTTGAGAACTATTTGGGGGCCATTCGTGGCGTGTAAATTTAATTTAGTCACCAGTAATATGAAGAACACCAGCAATATGTATGTTATGAAGTAAATGGGTCCCAGAATCCGATTAGCCTTCTCAATGAGTGCGTAATGGAAGTCGCCCAGGATCATCCGTATCATGGTCAATATCGAGGTTATGAATGTACGAAAGTCCGGATGTTTTGTGCCAAAGAGCAGAAGGCCCAGCTGGGCATAGGCCAGGAAGAAAATGCCAAACATGAGACTGAAGCCGGCCAGATCCTTGGAGCACTGCCGATGGAAGTGTTTAATGGAGAACATAATTCAAGAACATATTCAACGCAGACTTACGCGCTTCAATGTGGTCGTGAACTGAACCAAGGTCTTATTAAAGCTGATGAATTTGAAGATCTTAATCCACACCAGGAATGCCAAGAGGCCCATCATATCAACATAGATCATGTTGAAAAAGCACAGTGAGTCTAAGCTTTGAAAGCCCTCGTCCCTTTGGGCCTCAAACGAGAGGGAGTTTATTTTGAAAGTATGCCAAACATTGTAAATTAGCGCAATGTACGCGAACTAGAGGAGGAGGCCAAAATAAATGGAGAAGAGGAGAGGAGCTATGCGGATTCTTACAATCAGAATGAACGAGTCTATCAGGTTGAGTACCGACTTGAAGTACGATTTCCAGCCAATCTTTCGTATTTCTATGATTTCATAGAGGGTATAGTACACCACCATAATGTACCAGAATATATAAATGACCAACATAAACAGGCGCGGCTCGGTTATGAACGAATACTGCTTGACAGTCTGCAGATGCTCCTGCGGCAGGACACCGCCAGTTGGCAGAATTTCGACAATGATTCTGCAAAGATTATCGATCAGAATTGTCCTCAATTGAAGGCCTTTTCCACTCACTTGGCACTCTGGAATATGTATGTGTTCTCGTTGTACAAATTAAACTCGACGACACACATGCGAGAGGCCCGATCGATCCAGTCGCTCTCCTTCAGATCTTCCATTTTTTGTATGTTCTTTTCCTTGTCGTAGCTCAGTTGAATTGTGTACCCGCCTGTGTAATAATTATTTAGCTCGGCATATATGGGCATGGCATTCAGCTGCCCCATGGTTTTGTAGGGTGCCTCGCCATGCATCTTGGATCGGTTCTCTAGGCTGGACGCGTACGCCGCATAACAGGCATTGAAATACCGGGCAAAGGCCTCATTCATAGGACAACTGTCCTTCTTGACCCGAATCAGGCGAATTCGCGGCGCTCCCAGTAGCAAATTCTCCTGTAGAAATAGGCGTCCATGCAGATTGATGTTGCCCGTATGATTGTAGTTTACGTTGACCTCGTGACGCGAGCTGGTGTCCTTATCGCTATCCACGGTCTCTCGAGGCACACGATAGTTAAACATGTATGGATTCTCCGGCGGGCTGTCATCGACCTCGACATTCAAGAGCTTCCCCAAGCGCCCGAACCGCAGTGAATCCCCTTTGGCCCGAATGGGGGCAGCAGGCGTGGTTGGTCCTGCGCCTGTATCTGCATTAGTTGTTGTTGTTGTGTCGGTTTCGTTGTGATCGTCTAGCTCGGGAATTACTGGGAGAGAGTCGCCGTGAAGTGTAATGAAGAAATGGAACATCAAATAGTCCCACCAGTCCTCTATGGTGATCACCCTTTGAAACATTATAGTCACTGAAGGCGCAAGCGCGATCTCGCGCGTAGTAAATAGCTTCTTCATGGTTTCGTTGAAGTAGAACATGTACGAGTGACGCACAGAAAGGGCCACTGAATGAGAAAACTGTTACAATCTCGCTTTTCCATCAGTGCTTAGTAGGTTTTGTAAGGCGACTCGTAAGACGACTAAGAATAGCATCAGATAAAACAATCTACAAGCACATCAGAGCTCTAATTTCTCTTTCAGAATACAATGTATCTCTTCGTCTATTCAAGCCGTGTATCTGAAATCTGATGGTATCTACTTACCGAAAGTGGTTAGTATAAGGAAAATGATAAATATGCCGAATTCAATGAGCGCCTCACGCACTTCCTCATCGGTGGTGTAGAGAATGCGTGAGGTCTTTAGCTTTAGTCCTGGCTGGCTAGCCGCACCACCAGCGGCTGCAGCACCAGCGGTATCTCCTTTTTTCTTGCGTCGGCTCCGCGACGAAGTTCCCCGCTGCCCTACTTCAGGAATAGTCTTCACCGGTCCCGACTTCCCAGCTGGCGGTGGCGCTGGCGGTGGCGCTGGCGGTGGCTCGGGCACATCTGTTCGTACCGTGGATCGACGCCGCGCTTTCGTGGTTCCCTCGGGGAATGGCGGGTGAGCCTTCGACGTTGTCGGCCGCTGAGAAGCTGACAGTTCCGGCACACCATATGGCAGTGGTGACGGTATTGAGCGTCTTGAAGTTCCGCCTTGCGGTTGTCCGGTCGATGGTCCTGCAGCTCCTGGGTGCGCCGTATGGCGTTGAACGCGCGCGGGCGGTGCGGGGGGCTGCTTGCGCGGCTCCTGATCGCGTTGTTGGCTCATGCCTAAAATTTCCTTATCAATACAATTTTACTAAATTTTTTTCCGCTCTAGTTGTCGTATTGTTCGACTTATAGACTAGACTGAACTGCCTTTTTAGATGTGGCTCTGTGACAGGTTTGTGTTTGCTAAAAACAAAGTCTACTATTTAATTTTTTCTGAGTCATTTTTCGTCAGATTTAAATACGTTTTTTGGATAAGCCAGGCAGTATGCGTACCTTCGTAATAAATTTCAGCATATAAATAAAAGCGACTGATTAATATGGCTTAGAATTCATGAGTTATTTATCGCCTTTTAAATGAATTTTTAAGGCGGCAAACATTTACAAGAAAAATTTCCCAATTTTCAACAATTTTATTTATTACTTTCATCTTTCTTGATGAACAGAAGAATGCGATGGATCGCCATGGGCAGCACCATAGACACCAGGAGGTGCTTGATGGAGTTGCTTGAGTAAAGAAGCATTTATAAGTAATTTATTATAATTGAATAGACACTAAATTAATAACAAATATTAGAGTTGAGCTTTTACCAGCACGTTTTTACCTCTTCTACACTTTTTAAATAGACATAAAGAGCTTCTCAGTTCCGAGCAATTTCCAATGCTAAGCGTTCATTTGATTGCATTTTTTGATAGTTTGGTCAACACCTGTTTTTATTAAAAATAATTCCAATTAATTGTCTTCCAATAAGACAACAAAGTATGTTACGCAATATAGGTGGCAGGGTTAATAGAATTATGGTCAGCTCATAGCTGGCCATCAAATGAAATGCAACGTGCGCCCTCAACAACAGCGCCAACAATGTTGTGGGGGGCATAAAAAGCTCTCAAGAAATGCATCAGCCTTCATGATGCCACGACATGCTGCATGTTCCATGCTGCATTCTGCATGCTGCATGCTGCATGCATATTTCATGCGTTAACGCCAACATTTGAATTGCAGCGGCGGCGGCAGCAGAGGCAGCTGCAGACTCTTTTTGATTTATGGTCTCGGCCATAAATGTTCGCACTGGGACCTGCCACACAATATCTCGCTCCGGCCTTGCAGGCTATCAACGCCAGTTGAGTTGTCGTTGTCAAGTTGCATAAAAAATGCTTGTGCGGCGAAAGAAAATACTATATTTATGGCTATACGGTATGCTTGCAAAAAAACGCAATCTGAAAAGGTTTAAGCTACAATAAAAATGTGTGAGTGGGAATTTGTATTAATCGAAGTTTGCAATTAAACAACGCATTTCATATAAACGACGTTTTATGGTAATTTTGGCAACAATTAAAAATATGAAATATCTCTGAAATCAAAACTGTCACTCTTATTAGAATCGATTTTAAAATCAAATTATTTTGGAATTTATCCCACATTTAATCCTTCATTTGTTCCGATATTTCCAACAAAAAGAATACGCTTCAAACCATTTAATCTGAAACGTTGTCAAGCAATTGCAAACAACTGTCTTATCGGCAATCCAACAACTCATTAATGTTCAGATAATTCAATCCTCAAACTAAAGGTTTGTATTACGAAACCCACACTAATTCTATAAGCTAGCTTTAACTAAAAGCTACCCGACCTTGCTTGTCCCATAATAAATGCTCGAATGGGCAAAGTTTTGTTTTTATTATTTATTTAAGTAAAAGCTATGAAGTTTATTTGTATTTGTTATATATGAACATCTTTAATAAAGTATAGCTTACGTAAAATCTGAAAAGCTTTAAGACACTAGAGTTTCTTGTATTTTAAATGTAGTATTAAGTTTAAATAAAGTTTGCTTGCCTTGCTCGCCAATCTACTTCTAAAAAGGCCACTTCAGTGCAATTTAAGTACACTTTTCCGCATCTTGCTTTTGCACTTTTCTTCAAGTTAATATATATATATATATATATATGTATGTATATAGTATATGTATGTTTGTATGTATAGAGTCTTACAAACTTAAGAATTTAGGGTGGGTGATAAGTGATAAGTGAAGTTGGAGTTCAATACAAAAATATACAAAGCACTTGACTACTATGTAATGACTAAGGTGTGTGCTGCCGTAGTGAACAATAAAGATCGTGCCATCTCACTAATAATTTATGGATAAAGCGTTAAAAGATTTGTGTATTTATTGTTTCTAGACAGAATGCAAAAATATTAGCGTGCGAACTAGTTTTTGAAGTTAAACAGTAGCTGTTTTTTTGCACAACTTGGCCTGCAGACTCTCCTACTTTGAATTTTCGAATGTTGTGTGCAGTAGACTAATCCTACTTACTAAGTAACTTTTAGTTTTATGTTTTTTGTAGTTGTGGTTTTCTAAACTAAGCGCTAAGAACTAATCAACTAAACTGCATTTTGTGATAGTTTGATGTGCAGCATAAACTATTTACTATATGTTTTGATTTGCCATTTTTTTACGTTTTTGCTTCGCTACTTATGTTTGACTCTAGAATTTATACACAAGTTTCCGTTTTGGGTTTGCTTAACTATTTGGCTTTGAAAATACTTGACGCTTTCGCTTTCCGATTCACTCTTCACACATGTATATATGTATAGTATAGCTTGTGATTTGTAGTTTGCCGACCATTTCAATAATGCGCTACTCGTAACAGTTTTAATTCCTATTCAGCAAAATTGATTTCAACAACAATGCAACTTTTGAGCGACTCGTACGTACTTCTTTGGTTTTTGCACTATAAAGTTAATACATTTAGTTGGCTTTAGGCCTTTCCTCATATGTATTGGTAATTGGTCCTTTGGTTTCAAACTTTGCTAACAAAAAAGGCACAATGTAATTGGTTGTGTGCGGGTTGTGTGTTGTGGGTTTTGGGTTGTGTGTTGTGTGTTGTGGGTATCCGGTGTATGGTTAATAGGGTTTTGCAGCATCCTTGGAACGTTTCAGTTGCACCTTCAAGCGCTTTGTGCCTATTTGGAAGCCATGCATGGCTTGTATGGCCGCATTGGCCGAATGCGGATTGTCGTAGGAGACGAAACCGAAGCATTTTGATAAATTGGTTTGCTTATCGATAAACACTTTGGCCGACAGGACATTGCCGAAGGGCAGAAATGTGGATGCGAGATCGGTGTCAACGAATTCCTGAGGTAGATGATAGATGAACAGATTGCTGCCCTCGGGTCCTGCAAAAATTTGACTCAGTTAGCTGGAGCTTTGATGAATGAGTGCCGTCCGTTACTTACCCTCGATTTGTTTGCCTGCCACGCCCGCGGCAGCCGCCTGCAGGGCGCTGGCGTTAAGCGGTTGGGCGGCAGCGCCATAACAGGCCGCGGCGGCGCCATTGGCTCCATTGGTCAAAGGACTTAGTGTGGGCGCATAGGCATCAGCGCTGGGGGGCCCTAGACGGCGGGTGGAGGAAGACAGAGAGGCAACTGATTAAAAATATTATATTAAATATTATGCAGAGTTTCGCTGTCGGAACCAAAACTGAGATGAGTTGAAGTTCTTGCAGTTTGCTTTTTGTAAAGCTCTCAAACATATTTTGTTGTTGTTGTTCTTCTTCTTTTTGTTGTTGTTTTTCATAAAAACAAATTACATGACATACACATACACATACAGATACACATACAGATACGCATACGAGAAGGGCACAGGCACACAGATGCAGATACACAGACACATTCCTTGGACAATAAATACAAAAACGAGAAACCGTGCACACGGCACTGGGCTGAGTTAACAGCGCATATGAGGAATCTTTTTTGGCCTTCGGCCTCGCCTTTGTTCTCCGGCATTGTTTTGTTTTATTTTATGCTCGCCCGCTGGCCTCACATTATTAAATTTTATATCCTTTTGCGCGCATCATAAAAAATTTGTTAGCCATTGTTATGCGCCACACCGCATCCTGCTTCTTTTTAATTGAGGAGTACCGCGCGGTGTGGTGCCGGACTTGGAGGCTCCCCTTTAGTGTTGTTGGTGGTTTCATTTTTGGAGCGCTCTCTGATGTTTGCTGCACACGTTTCTGTTTCTTTTTTTTTAGTTATATTCTTACTTTTATGTAATTTAGTAAATATTTCTGGCAGCTGTTTGCTCTTATTTTCGGCTGCACGAATAAAATGCAATCAAAGCCTTATAATCCCAGCATTTCATGCGCAGCCGCCGCTAACAAAAAATTGTTTTACGAACAATTTATTTAACATGGCTGCCGCTCAGTTGTTTCATTTTGTAATTACTTCCATTCACAAATTGTTGTGCAATTTATGCAAATTAATAAAGCATTTCCTTTACGCTTTTTTTTAGCACAAATGTGTTGACAGCAAAATGTGTTTGATAAAAGTTTTACTGCCGCTGGAGCTGCCTTAAATTCGATTTGAATTGCAACTAAAACTAAAAGCTAATTTCGTATAAATTTTCTCGGCTTTTGTTATAATTTTCACACATGTTATTTTGCTTGATGATACTAAAGAGGAGCATCTCAGGAAAACTGAGCAGATGTAAGCAAAATAGAGTGTTGTAATGAAGCCTTGTTGTTGGATTCAACTACCATATAGCTGCCAGACGACATACTTTTCTTTAAGTGATGGATTTTTTAAAGCAAACTATCAGGCTAGCTTCATATGCCTTTCCATAGTGATAAGAAAAAGTTTAGAAACCCTTTCCGAAATGGCTCAATTGATGAGCCAAGCTTTAATCTTTTGGGCTGGCGATATAACGCAATTAAAGAATGGTCGTGATGACGTGAATGACAACGAAATTGTTGAGCAGCTAAAATGCGTCATTATCGAAGATGCAGTCGAAAAAATATATGAGCTTATCATAAATTAGTCCATTGTTCGGTGAAATAAAGGGAAATGGAATTATAATTCCAGGTCAACAATTTCTCGCATTTTAAACGGAAAAATTGCCTCACTAGTCGAAACTTGGAATTGTTTTATTGAAAGCAAAAAATTACATCTTAACCATCAAACATTTCCCAGAGTCGGTTCTTTTGCATCTCATGTGGGATCAACAAGTAATACCTAAGTAGTGCCTTTCAAAAATCATGTTTCGGTTATTTACTAGTCCTTGATGCTTGTGCTAAGCTTCTGCCTAACATCTTTTGAAACTTTTTGAAATACTATTTAATTCAGAATATAATTTTATTTACAAAAGCTTGCGTAATATTCAAGCTGTATATTAATATTCACTCTCATATGTAAGAGGAGCAATTTTTTTCAATATAAAATTGAAAATTTTGGACATGTATTTTGGATTTTAATTTCAAAATAACAAATCTGACCTGTTCCCCTTCTTCCGGGACGTTAGCAACCGCAGCGCTCATGTCGCGGTTACTGCATATTGACAATTTTTGTTGGCGGCTTTGCATTGATTGCAAGGATTTCGTTTTGATTTTTGCCACGGAAGATTTTGTTTTCATGTAAATATTGAGCAGCCATTGTGGCTGACTCTGACTCTGAATCTGACGCTGATGCTGACGCTGACGCAGCGATTTTCTGCCATATTGTTGTTCGGCATTTTTGTTATTTTTTAGACGCAATCAACGGAGCATTGTGCGCAGTTTTCCTTTTTTATCTGCTGTCAATGGCATTGAATTGTTGTTGTTGCTATTATTGTTTTCGTTATGAAAATGTGTGGAGCGCTGGCAACGGGCACTTTCCCACTGATACCGTACCATATGTATATTGTTTGATGTGAAATTGTCGTATGGCTTTTATTGACACAGCGAGCTAGGGCAACGCGGCGTATACGCAACACACAGACATAAAAAAGGAATTAAATTAGAAAAACTCACGGGGTGCACAGGAAGGAACATAAATGATATGACGATATATATACTACGAGTACATACACATACAAATACTATATGTGTGTGTTTTTTAATTAAAACTACAACTTAGAGGGTTGTGGGCTGTGAAGTGCATCCGCTCGCTAGTGTTGGAATCGATTTTGTGCAGAACAGGCAGGTTTTTAGAGTTATTGTTATTGTTGTTGTTGGATCGCATGCAGCGGCGCGGTTCGCAGTTGTAGGTGTGAGTGCGTGCAAGTGTTTTGATTGATAAGTGTAGCCAAAGGATATGTTATGGTCAGTGGAATTGGGTGTTTAGTAGACACAAAAAACAAACGGTTAACTACAGGAACACACAAACATACATTTACGCAGTGACAGCTGCAAAGGAGGAGATGGGGAGAGGGAGAAAGAGAGAGAGAGAGAGGGAACATACTGATATATACAATGTTTATACGAAGCCATTAAGTAATAGGTTTTACTATAGATTAGACACATTTCATTGGAATATGAAAAGTAATTACAACAATTTTTGATTTGAAAAATATAATTTAAAAAAATAGAATGCTAGAGTTTCCTAAATTCAAAGTTATTTTATCTTTTGCATTTAAACTTGCTTATTATAAATAAAAGCAGAAACAAGCAAGGCCTCCTAACGATTACTCTCTTTAAATATTATATAACAATTAGCTTCTTTGATCAAATTAAAATATGATTTAAGTTTTACGTAAAAAAAAATGCTGAACTACTTGTAGAAGTGACCTAACGATCTGATTTTTAACAGAAAGAGAAATTCAGTCTAAGTGAATACTGTGAATAATATGTTATGGGTAATTCAAATTGAATTCATTTTACAATCCTTGCAATTATTTATCATTATTATCATAGAATATTTGTAATAATGCCGAAGCAGAACTTTTAACTCTTTGCGTGAAAATATTTCTAATCTTCCGTTCATGAGTCAGGATAACAGTTTGTAAGTTCTAACATTATCGAGTTAAAGGGACACTTGTGAGGGCTGTAAACTAAAACTGAAACTCTCGGAACATTCGGGCTTCGTATAAACTTGGTATAAAGTACTGTTATACTTACAAAGCGTGCCGAGCGTGATCGTTTGGGAGGGCGGCGAAGCGGCTGCCGCACCCATCAACTGCACCATATTTAATTGATGCGCCTGCGTGGCGCTCAATAGGTTGCCCGCGGTGGCATATGAGGGCTGGCGATGAATGGTGGTGTTGCTGCCTGGGTGAGTGTGGTTGTTCCGGTTGGTGGTGCTGCTGCTGCTGTGGTGCTGTATGTGGTTGCTGTTGCTGAGGTGACTGCTGCTGCTGTGGTTGGTCTGCTGGGGCGTTGTCAGCGCAGCGACGGCCGCTGCGCTGCTGTTGAAGCCGGCCAGCGTTACCAGATTCTGCATAGACATGGGTGGACCGGCGAGCAGGGGTCCAGAGCCAGGAGCATGCCCGGTGGCAGAGACGCCGCCGCCGGGTGTGCCAAGTGGGTGTGGGCGTGGTGGCCCGCCGGCGGCTGCTGCTGCTGCTGCTGCGGCGACTGCAGCGTTGGCAGCCGATAGAGTTGCTGCTGCGTTGGCGGCGGCTGCGGCTGAGGAACCGGCAACGGGCCCGCCGGATGATGGACCGTGCTGGCTGTGGTGGGCACTGTTATCCGGTGGGTGGAAATTTAGTCCTGATTTCATTGCCCATATTTATTTTCAAACAGTTTGAGTTTTGATTTATGGTTTTAAGGTTTGGTTGAGTTGGTTGATTGATTGTTTGATTGATTGTTTGATTTTTGTACATGACCACAGAGTCAATCATAGACATACCAAAAAATGTTCAACGAATATTTATATATAAAAAACATAGAAGAAAACACACACCCAATTGTATTATTTACATTTACAAAAAATTAAAAATTAATTTGTTCGATTTTTTGTAAAAATTTTGTCAACTTTAAACATACGAGTACAACAAAAAATCATAACAGAACAAAAATCAAAATTAAACATAAACAAAAACATGTGGGAAATAAAAAATTATAACTAGGGGATGCAGTCAAAACATAAAACTCTGATCAGATAAGTCAACAAAATAAAAAAGTGGATAATGTAAAATATTACAACGAATAATAATTTACAAAATAAAATAATTTTTACAAAAATAATAAAGGAAATTTGGGAAATAAAATGAAAATTCAAAATAAAATAAACGTAAAACATTGCAAATTTTTCGAATGCAGTTAGACATAAATTAATTAAAACTAATTATGTAGAAATTAACATAAGAATTTGCAATTGCAGTTGATACTACAGGCTGCTCGTGATGGAGGCAATGCTGGCGAGCTCTAGCTATGGCGGCATTGCATACTTTTCAGCGCTAGCACACATACATATACATATACATATGTTCGATTATTGCACTTGGTTTTAGTTGTAAATTAATATGCATAGCCTCTACACAAATCAAAACCTAAACACATACGTCATAACGACCAAACGAGCGCGCTAAGAAGACTACAGTTTGTGTGTGTGTGTGTTTGTGTGTGTGTGTGTGTGTGTGTGTCGGTGACTGTGACTGTGAGTGTGTGTGTATTTGTGTGTGATTGGGTGTGATTGTGTGTGTCTAGAAGAGTACGATGCTGGGCAGCCTACACAAAGAATGAGCACAGACACTGTACGACATTGAACAAACAGGCAACATATAATATAAGTTTTATTTCTAATTTCGGTGCAAGACTTTGAATGAACTGCAAAATATTTGTTATTATTCCGGCATTGATATTAAAATGTATGGTTAGGTGTGCAAGCACTCCCAAGCACTTATACGTACTTATATGTATGATTAACTTGTTTCCTAGACAGTCTATGAAGACTATGCGTACTTAAATGTTAAATTAATATGAAACTTATTTCTTAGGCAGGCTAAGAAAACTATACAGTATTTGATATGTTAACATGTGTCTTTAAAAGTTCATCAAATATTGTGTCTGTATGAGGTCTTATCCCCAGGATAGTCTGAAATTGAATTCTAGAAAACTGCATTTGAACAACCTGGAGAAATATCAACTAAATTTTTAAAAAATATATAAAAATAAATTACATATCTGCACCAAAACTACTTGTAGTGCCTAACTTATTTATTTACGAATTTTTCTGTGAATTTTTTTTACTGAATTGCAACTTAAACAGAACAAGCCTAGAAGTATTGCATTTAATATTTGATTAGATTTAAAACTTAAATAGTACTACTACTACTTTATTTAGTTGGACTGTAAGGTTACTTCAAAACAAACATAATAAAACGATTTCTTTTTTTTTATTCTTGTTTCTTGTAACATCCGAAAGCTCGAATGAAAACAAATAATTGCAACGAAACATTAGATTGGCTGAAAGTATATATATCTTAAGAACTGGTACATTAAACTGGAGAGGCATTTATATATGTAGATGACCAGCTTCGTTAAGTTGGCTGCTTGTCTTCAACCTTAAGAATTATCAACATAAAGAAGGCGATTCTGGAGAGACATTGGCATGGGAGTCGGCACCTCGGGCTATTGGGCTTGAGAGCTCACATCTTTGCTTTGATGGCGTTGATGCATTCAAGAAATATCTGCCCCAAAGGCATGGCTGGTCTCATGAAAATGCCACCCGTACGAGCAAGAAACTGAATGCCTGGTGAGTGCATGGCATAGAATTTTTTGTGAGCATCAGAAGGGAGCCACCTCTGCAAACAGACTTTTAAATAATTAGTAACTGCAGTGCGACGGCAGACACTAAATGCTCGAATGCTGCACAACTTGTAATTGGGCTGCTTAACTGCACATTGCCTGCCCATTTTGTGGCAATGTCTTTGTCTCTGCTCTGTCAGCGACAGGCAACTTGGCGAATGGGGCGTATGCTGCATACAAATGAAAATGTTAACTAAATGGCAAAACATTTTGTTGCACTTTTCAACTATTTTGCCGGCAGTTAGACTGCCCGCCCACGCCTGCCACTCTCCTCGTCTCCAACCCGGTCTCTGTGTCTGTCTTTGGACCTCTGCTCCGGTTGCTGACAGTTTGGTAAGATAATTTTAATGCGCAGAGAGACGCAGAAGTTTGGCGCTTTTGGCAAATTGGTTAAATCAGCGCGCACAGGTCGCACACTTAACGGTTTTAGTGCGCACGTCGCACATTTTGTAGCCATCAGCAAGCTTCGCTCTGACATTTAAAAACTCCATTTGTTATTCAAGTGGCATCCAGCGCTGCCAACGCCGCTGCTAACTTCTAAGTGAAGGCGACCCCCGTTCTCAGTCCGTCTGTCCCTTTTTTTACGACTGCATCACGCGCCTCAACGGTTGTGGATGTCCGTGATTCTTACTTTCTGTTTTTCTTGTTATTTTTGTTGCTATCGCCGCTTCTTTTTTGCAAGCCTTGCGCTCGATTTGTTATGCGCAAAATATCCACGTCGTCGAGACTGGCCAGATACATACCAACACATATACGAACATATATACACACACATTAGCAGTTGTGCTATCGCACAGTGGTCTGAAACCACATCGCATTTGGTCTAAAAGGTATAGTATATTGCCTTTAAACAACAAATAAAACGATTTGTTTGCCATTTAGTGCTTGCAGAGGAGACAACAACCCAATATAAATAATATTTGATACAAGTAATCGAAACTATTTCCTTTGAAACAAATATAGTGGGTTTTATTTACTTGAATATTGCAATTTTTTAAGGTATACTCATTTCAATCAAGCTTAAGCAGGTTGTGGTGTGCAGATCGAATGCTTCAACTATATAGACTTACAAGTATGTTTGTATTGAACTCCCATACTAAATATTTTTAGATTTTAGATTAAGAAACTATTGGACTCGAGCTGGTTCCACCCTTATCAAAGCATTAATATGTTTGCTCTCCTATGCATTAATGGCTACTGTCTATCGCCTTATGCTATACTTTCCAGCTACCTATTGCCAACACGATAAATACTAATCTGATGTACCTACAAATACATCGGCATCCACTCCTGATAACAGCGCTACACAAACCTTTATTAATCTATCTGCCACTGTTGCTAATAACTATATTCTACCACATTTGTCATATCATTCAAGAAATTGTGTTGCTGCCGTCAACTGCTGTCCACTGCTGATATCTTATTGCTGGCCCATTTTATCTAATTTAGTCTACAAATATAACTTCGCTTTGCTAGAACTACTGTCCATGAATCGGAATTTTGTAAGCTGTCTTTAAAGAATACAAGCTAACTGCGAACTTGGCTGTTCATCCTTGTGCTCCTTCCATTTAACCTTGATTATATATTTCAAGGTAAAAGGTAAAAGGTAAAAGGCTCTCTATATCGAATTGTTTCAAAGGCAGCAGAATCTGCTCTGTACTACCAAAGTCTTACTCTGGAATGTTTCCATTTGTGCATTCTCCCTCTTTAGGCTTAACACAAACTCTGGCAGAATAGTTAAAAACATTATATAAGAAGAATGTTTGCAGCAGACATTCAGTTGAAATAATTGAATTGTTTATCTACAATTTCAAAGGTTTTTTTGGCAAATGCAGTTGACTTTTGAACCACTGTGCGTCGGTCATTCTAATGAAGCGCAATTGCATATGCAACACGTTTACATTGACGCCACGTCCACGTTTCCACGTTTGTGTCTGTCTGTGTACGAGCGTGTATGTATGTGTGTATGTGTGCGTGTGTATTTACACAAGTGTTGCGTGCCAACGTTTTCCTGCTGCCCTCCCCTTTTCTTAACTGTGGCAAAAATCACTGTCCACTTTCGTAGCTTTGCTTTGCTCTGCCAGCCCACCTTTTAATCCTATTAGAATTTTTGTTTTATTCATCATGCTCTTGGCCCGCTGTCAAAACGCCGGCATTTTCACCCTTGCCTTGGAGCTTCCCCTAGCCATACCCTTACACGGCCGGAGCATCCCTTTCAGTTTTTCTGCATTTATGCAAATTTTGTTGTTTAAATTGAAATTAATTATTTGACAGTTGTCGCTTGCAAATGACTGCCCGACTGTTTTCGCCCATGTTTCCTATTCTACGCTCTACGCTCTGCGCTCTGCCTTCTGCCTTCCCTCCTTCTATTTAAGCATCAGCCTTTGGATGTCCTCTCGTTCCATCTCGCTGTCATTGTCATTCCTGCGTTGACTTTGTGCCAACGCTCGGGTCACTTGTTATAAATGAAGCGACAAGTTTAGAGGACGAACAAAATATACATACACAGATATATGAACGTTGTCCTGCTTACTTTTTTAAATGTTAAGCAAATGTCTACATGGCTTAAGTTTGTTAGACTTAAAGTCACTTGATCTGCTAAATAAACGGTTCCTTCTCCTCGTATTTACTTAGGAGGTTGACAATATTATGGGAAATTATTAAAGAATGAAAGCAAATATCGCCTGCCAGCTCTTCAGTGTTAACTGAAATGCATTTAATTTGTTCTGATACAAATTAATTAGGTCAGTTATAATTTGGAATTGTATACAATTAGGACTTTTGCGAAGCCAAAAAATTTAGCTAAGTTTATATTCAAAACAAGAGCCCTTTTTAGAGTCCTTATCATCGCTGTTTGGTACTGAATACCTTACAATAATAACAAGTATTTCAGAAATTATGTCCTTGCCTTCGAATTACATTCTTATATATAGTTGCTGTTTTTTGAAAGCTGATAAACTTTGAAACTTGAAATCTCTTGCTATTCCTTTGTCATAGCTTATTCAATAATGCCTTTTAATAATAATTATTAATAATGTTATGAAATACTTAAGAGTTTATTTAAAATAATTTAAAGCTCCAATTAATACTTAAAGCGTAAAAACTTAAAAGTAATCTGGCACTTGTAACGCAAGGATAAGTTTATAAATAAATACAAATACGAAATAAATTGATTATTGGTAATGTGGAAATAAAGTTGATAAGCAGCTTGGCGCTTCCACAATGATGTAATCTCGCTTAATAATATGTTAATTAAAGGTGTTAATCGAATTAATTATTATAAGGAATTTTGCAGCTCACTCAAAGTGCAGTCACTAATTAAGCTGACAATACACATTCCTAGCTTAGTTTTGTGTTCGTTTCGAACAATTGCTCAACACAAAAACAGATTACACAATTACTAATTGCTAGCTAATTAAAATGAAGAATATGCACAGAAAGGAGAGAACACGGAATGAGAAACGATAATAATTTGGAAAATTAAATACGCAATTAAACTAAACAAACAATTTTGGTTGCAATTCACAAAAAGAGGAAATCATAAATTATTGTAAACACAAAGGTGCGCGCGAAAACAGAAAACACACGAGAGAGGTTCAAACGAGCAAATGGGTGAGCATAGAGAGATACAATGGGAAGATAGAAGATAAGTAGGTGGGTAGTATGGTGAGTTGAGAGTTGGGTGGCGGTACACTGACTGGGTGGCTTACACTGTTGGTTTCGAGTTGGTGCCAATGAGAACTAACTGATCTGAACTGAACTGAGCTGAACTGAACTGATCGTATGTGGGATCTGGGAGAACTGGAAGGCTTACTTAACTAGCTGGTAGCCTAGACCCCATCACACTCACCTTGCAGATAGTGGGCCGGATGCAGTCCATAAGCCGGATGCTGGAACTGCTGGAACAGCTGCAGAGCGCCCGTCGGATCTGTCGTCAGATAGGCGGTTGCCGCCCCCGGGCCATGCGCCGCCTGATGCGCATGCGCGCCCAGCTGATGCGGATTGCTCGAGAGCAGAGTCGGCGCCAAGGTGGCAGTCAAAGCAGCAGATGTGGGCACCAGGGCCGTTTGGGCGCCAGCACCTGCTGCGCTCTGTGGTGGGGGCGGGGCACCCACGGCAGCCAAGGCGGCGGCCATAGAGGGATTCGCACGCGTCCCAGTTGGCGGCGAAGCAATCAATGCCGTGGCATGATTGAGCCCATTGCTGGCATTCGCTGTGGGTGTGGGTATGGCGCCAGCGCCGGCGCCCACGCCACTGGGCGACTGTGTCAGCGCATTGATGCCACAGATGGCGTGCAGCTGTTGCATCTTCTTCTGATCCTTCTCCTTCTGCGTGTCGGCGAACTTAACCACCAGCGGGGCCGAGCAGCCCTCCATTGTTTGGCTTTGGTGCAGCGCCTGCAATAAAGTGGACAAGTTTTTCCTACAGTCAATATCGGCTATATGGGCTATATATAAAGTGAGAAAAACAATAAAATGAAGCTCTCACTGTTTCTTTAAAACTTATATCGAGACTAAATATTTTTATGCAAACTACAATAAATTAATGTCTTCTTTCGATTTCAATTATATACTTTTGCTTAGTTAATAATTTTACAGCTTGAATTTCGAAGGACAAGTAAGCTGCATACACTCGCCTTTTCTTTAAGTATAGTCAGTATATATACTATATATTGCGATTATCCACTGTAGTTTTCTCGCCGTCTTATTACTTGTATAAATTACATGGCGGCAACAAGAGAGACTACTTGCAACGACGACCTGTTTTAAAACTCGGAAATTTGCCTAATTACTTTGTTGCCAGCAGCAACAGTAACAACAACAACAACAGCAATAAGCACAATGTTGGGCTTCTGGCGCACCAGTTTGTGCATAAAAGTTACACCACAGCCGCAAGAATTATAGTCAATGTAATTAAAGACCACTTCTGGCTGCTGGCTGCTGTCTGCCTGGCCATGGGTTGCGAGAAGTGGGGGACAGTGTTGCCACAATTTAGCGGAAGTTGCATGACGGCGACTGCTGCCGCTGCCGCTGCCACTGCCCAACTGCAATGATAAAGTCTACATAAACCGGAAAGTGACTAAAGTGCCTTGCCAAGAGCGGGCGGGCGGCCCATTCGACTGCCGATGCACTCTGCCTCTAAATGTGGCCGCTAAATGTGTCTGCGCTTTTTGGCCTCGTTCCTGCCTTAGTTTGTTTGCTGGGCTCAGCAAAAGGTGTAAATTAAGTCGCTGGGAGCCGCCGTGAGCAAATGTTGTGGCTGCTGCCGTGGATGACGTTGTTCAGCGACTTAGCTGCGGGTCATTATTTTGAGGCTGTAAGCCGGAGTTGCAGGCAGAAGCGCCCATCAATAAAAAAGGGAGCTTACTGATGCTAACGTTTATAAATGCCTAAGAAGCGTAAGCAAGTTAGTTAGCTGTGTGCAAATTCCCGATGATAATTGTAAACCTTTGCAACGCTCTATTGCTTCTATAGTTTGCTTAATTTCGCATAACAGTGTTAGTTTGTGCAGATATTTTTAAACTACAAGTAAATAAATATCAGAGAACGATAATCACGAGAGAAAACACTTAATGCTGCCACACTCCATTCTTTAATTTTGCGTCAAAATATCTGCACTTGCAGCAACTTTTGCGCTGCCAAAGTCCTTCAAAATAAATGAGTTAAATGACCCGACATGCAACATGAAGCATTAAGAGCTGTTGTGCATGTGGCATAGAAAACAGCGCAGACAGCTCCTACCTACCGCCCCAGCCAGCAACCGGCAGCCGCCCGCTGCTTGACAAATTAGCGCAAATGCAGCAGCAGCAGCAGCAGCAGTGTGAAAGAAATCTGCATGTGATGAAAAATGTTATCATTTTCCTTACATTTTTCCATGCATTTTATCTCGCTGGCTGTTTTTCGTTTTTTGTTTCGGTAAATAAAAGCTAGTAAGATGCAGCGGCAAAAAGTTCATTCAAGCAGCCGCAAATGGAGGAAAGATGCAGACTGGCATGCCAGTGGGTGGGTTGTGGTGGCTTGTGGAGGTAGGTGGAGGGGGAGAGTTGGTTGCGCTGTAAGGGTTAAATGCGAAAATAAATTGCTGGCCACATTAATATTAAATGCAATGCTCGCAGCGTGCTTTGGGCTGAGTCACTGGCATTGCATACTTTCAAGCGTCAATAGACTGCAATGACTTTGTGATGTTGCAGTTACTGTACTTGCTTTTGTTGTTGTTGTGATTGTTGTTGTTGCCGCTGCTGCTGCTGTTTGCAGATTCATTTGGCTACGCACGCAAACTCATTGCGTGCGTGCCTGGCATGCTGTAATTTGACTTCAAATGCATTAAATTTCCACACACACACACACACACAGAGACACAGGCACACGTGAAGCCTTTTATATATATGTGTGTGTGTGTGTGTGTGTGTGTTTGTGTGTAAATGTTGGGCAATGCAGCTGCCCACCCACAACATTCATCTTGCAAAGGCGACAAATTATGTGCAATACACCCAGACAACATGCTGTCCCATGTCGCCTCTCCATATACATATGTGTTTGTGTGTGTGTGTGTATGTGTGGTGCGCTTTTGTGCTTTACATGTGTTTGTGTTTGGCTGTCGGAAGTTTGTAATTTTGCCTGTTTCCGGCACAAAACTTGCATTAGTGTGGCCGCCGCTGTGCGCCCTTTCAGCCCTGCAGAGCATTCTGTCGACTGTTGGCTCCAGCGAAGGGAGCAGCTGAAGTTGCTCGGGCAATGGCTGCCGTTGACTTCTTCCGGTGCCAGTGGCGGCGTCTTGCTTGCGTTTCTACTTCCTGTTGCCATTCCTGTTGTTGTGGTTGTTGCTATTATTGTTGCAGCTGCATGAGGTTTTTGTTGCTACATGCATGTCTGTCTCTACGCCTTTTTATAACTGAGTGTGTGTGAGTGTCTCTCTCCCTCTCTGTGTGTGTGTGTGTGTCTGGCTGGCATCACGTTGTTTTATATGCGCGACTCTTGCCGCCACAGCAATTAATCATTGCGACAGTTTTGCGCGCTGCCGCACACACACACACACACATATTCACACGGACATTACTCACACTGCCGGTCAAAAAATGTTAACCAATGCAAATGGTTCTGTAATGACATTACTTGCTGGCAGATCGAAAAGCTTTTTATAATATGGACTTGCACTTATTCTGAAATGCATTGGAAGCTTAAAATATTTACAGAGTAAATAAAGTACTCTGTACTTGGCTTCGCATGGATTTCGACCACAGTCGTTATATATCTCTTCAGAAATATCTCGAGAAAGCCTTTCATTGATAGATTTTAGTAAGTTTCAAATACCTATGCTCCTGCATTGAACGCTCTATCGATTTATACATGAACTGCTTTCTTCATCTACAAGTATATATTAAATCTTTTGAATCGAAACTTTTAAATGAAGTCCAATAATAAGTAAGACATAAGCAATGCGGTTGCAAGTTAAAAGCATTCTTAAGAACCTAGTGCATGGAAATTGCATTTAGAAAAGAACATATTTTTAACACAATTTCGTAACTAATTGTCCGGGCAGCGTATTTTTGGTTAGTAGTGTGTTGATAGGCGCACGTTCCGCTCGAATAGGTATGAGGTATGAAATTTCAGCTGAAAAGTAGCTCGTTAAATTGCAACTTCCGTGCACCGCTTTTAACGACTAAAAATATGAAACTTCGTCTCAGGACACGCATGGCGCAACTCTTTAAAGCTAACTTATTAAGCAGGTGACTATTGTCTATCCTTTAAAGATTGGCATCACAACACACTCGCACACTCACCTTGATCGCTCCGATGGCGTTCTGTTTCGTTGCGAATGTTACAAATGCGCAGCCCTTGCTCTGGCCCACCTGATCCCTGAGAACGGTGCACTCCTCGATGGTTCCATGGCCCGTAAACAGCTGCCTCACATCGGCTTCGGTATATTTTTTATTCAGCATGCCAACAAAAAGTTTACGCTCTGTAAATAAAATTCAAAAGAATGTTGAGTTGAAAAACTGTTGCGAAAAACTAAATAAAAACAACGTAAAATATTGTGTTGATGGAAAAAATAAAGAGGTAGTTGTTCTTGTTTTGCTTGCGTTGAAATTATTAAAATGGGAAACGGCTCCTAGAAGTAGAAATTGTAATGTTCCAACAACAACAACAACAAGAACAACAGCAGCACAACAACAAGTAGCAACAATAACAATCATGCGAAATGCGAAGAGAGCAAAATAATTTACATTATGCGGCCCGTACAAGCGACAAATAGGGCCGGTAATGTGGGTCCAACTATAATGAGCAGCAACAACAACTACTTCTACAATTATAAAAAAATGTACACCTGCAAGTGTGTGTGTTGCTGCCACCTGGCTGCTCCTGGCGGCCGATGGCTGTTCAACATGGCTATAAAAAAGTGCTGCCATGTAGAAATGAAGAAATGGCTGACTGACTGCCGACTGCCTGACGACTGTTTATGTGTCTGTATGTGTGTGTGTGTGTGTGTGTGTGTGTGTGCTATGAAATGAGCGTCATAAAAGTGGCATTAAAAGTGCCTCACACACACACACACACACGCACACCACTTTCCGTTACATAGACGTGTGTGTGTGTGTGTGTGTTTAAGGATTATATGCTGAAGACTCTTGTCGGCTTATGGCGCTACCTTTCATGTTTTCCTTCTTCTCTTCTTCTTTTATAATTCGAATTGTAAAGTTTATGCTGCACATTTTTATGAACTTGCTGGTGTTGAGAATTTAATGTGCATTTTTTTATGCCTGTTACTGCTTGGCTGCATAATTTTGGCACATGTGGCGTATGCGTAATGAAGTCTTCGGCAAATTCCTGAAATCGAAATTGCCGCATAAATATTTACAATTAAATCGAATTAAATTGTTTTGATGATGACCTTCTTTACTTATACGACTTCGAAATCAATATCGTCTGGCTTAGCTGTGTATTTGTAATTTGAGATTTGAGCTCAGTTTAATGAATAAATGCCTACGTTATTTTCTGACTTGTGAACGAAATGGCTATTTTATGAACTCGCTGATTTAGTTCACAAAACCATAACTTGTTTTGCGTTATTTTTGCTCATAAAAGATTAAAGATTCAGATTTATTACCTTTTTTGCATTGTTTTTTTTGCGGTAAAAATCATTGTTATGAGTGGCTGACATTTCTACAAATTTAACTTTTATTTTCAATTTTAAAAATTAAATTAAATGAGAAATTGAGAAGAAAAAATAAATAACACAGAAGAATAAATGAAGTCTGTAGTTGCTTGTATATATTTAATGTTGAGTTCCAAAGCTCTGGCTTCCATTCACACAGCTTTTCGCTTTTATTTCTTTCTCAAAAGAGCTATATAATGATACTTTGTGCTTGTTATAATCAATTACTTTAAATATTTTATTACGAATGCGTGTTCGTATTGAAATTTTGTATAATATTTGGTTTTCTAAAATATCGAATCACAACTGTAATATATTTATATCTTCAGTATATATCGTGTTGTGAAGAGCCACACTAACAATTTACTAACTAATAAACTAATTTTCGGACAAATACAAATTGTACAAAATTGTTGCCTTTTCTTTGTTAAACTCATATCTGAAAAAACGTTGAAAACAATCTTTTGTAATATTATGCAATGTATAGCAAATATATGGTTACAATAAAACATTTGAAGCTAATTCCTAATAACTATGTATGTGAAGTTTTTATTCTTTTATGCTAGTTGCTCGTGCATTTCTGCGTAGGCTCCCCATACCACCGTTGGCCTTGTGGAATGCCACTAGAACGTTTCGATGTGTGCCGCAATTTCCGATTGCTCGAAGTCAACTGCACATTCAAATCGAATTGCCATTGACAAGCAGCTGGGACAGCTTTAAGCTGCAGCAATAAATCGCTGTAAAATGCTCAGTCCTTTTGCTCTATCAGTAGTCTCTCCCTGACTCGCGCCTCCTCGCTTTCGCCAACCAACTCGGTCACAGGGAACTTAAAACTGGCTACAAACTTTGAATGCTCAGTTGTGCGAGTGTGTGTGTGTGTGTATGTGGTGTGTGTGTGTGTGGTGTGTGTTTGCTTTATCTGCTGGCGAAACAAGTGCTGGAAAGTTTCGGCGCACTCACATGCAAAAGACTAAAAACGCAATTGCAACAAATCGAATCATTGTAGCAGCAGCGCAAACTTTTCATTTTGCAACACACACTTTTATGCGCAACTTTGCAACACACACACACACACACACACACACACACACACACACTCACACATGGGATTGTATGTGGGGCCACCTAAAAACAAACTAAGCGTGTGTTGCCCCATTCTTTATCTATTGCTGTTTTCTTTTTCCTGTCGCAAAGTATAAATATAGAAAATGGTGTCGCTGCAACGGAAGTGATTGGAAATTGTTGCGCTGCCTCCGTGGCCCAAAGCACTCAGCCTGGCCAACAATACTATTCCCTGCTCCTGCCCTCTCCCTCCGACACTGTGCTATCCAGTGCAAAGTTTTTCCACGCACGCCTTTCTTTGCTCCTCTTCTTTTCCACTTCTCCTTATTCTTCTTGTTGGTCCTGCCACATGTGCAAAATTTATTTGAGGTTAGTTCAGGTGTGACACAAAAAGTAACATTTTATATATTTATTGTATGGATTTGGTAGTTTAAGTTGAAACTTTTCCACCAGCCGGTAGCACCATCTCGTTGGCCAGATAACGAAAGTATGACAAAGAACTTATTGCATTGCTGCAACAAAAGCAACAACGTTGACGATGACTATGGCGATGAGAGGTTGTTAAGCAGCTCGTTCCTTTGTATTTCACACGAAGATTGCAGCTGATTGCAAAGTTTTATGCGCACGTGATTCTGCTCGATAAGACGGTAAAGAGAAAATACGAGTACAGTACTATATAGTATGTACGGGTATCTGCGAATGCGCAATGCTGCTCTTGACGTGCCACAAATTGGCAGAGGGAGGCAGCGGCAAAGGTGTTGCATTGAATACTTATTGCGAAAGTGGACCAGACGAGGTTAGCCTGCCAGCAGTGCTCCCACCCATTGCTTTATCCATGAACCTGTTGGTTGGCACACCTGCATTGCGTTGCGACATAAATGAGAAATCGTCAACACAAGTTGTCAATTTAATGGCAATCGGATCAGCTTTAACAGCAAGTTAGTGTATTGGCAATTGGAAACTCAGATAATGAGAGAGCCATTGGACACCATATCGATTCCGTCACATTACAAGTAGAGTTAATGAATTGGAAGCTAGCACTTCTTTTGAAATGAATTTATTTTCCAAGTATATGCAGAGAGGATGTATTACTTGTAGAACCGCTTTTAGTAAAGACTTTAGCAGGGTATGGAAAGATGCCTTATAATGTCTTTAAATTATAATAACTATTCATAATACATACGGAAAAATAAAATATTTCATTACCTTCAACTGACAACCCAACACATTTCAAACAAATGAACATGCCATTTCCATTTGGTCACCTTATCATATCAGCTGCTTGCCACAAACTTCGCATCAACTGCCACACAGCAGTTGCTTGCAGCAACTTTCCGTGCCTCCTTCTGCCCCACTTACTCGTGCTTCACTCTGCCTGCCTTTTCTACTTTTGTGCTCTCATCTGCCTGTCTCCGAGCAACTTAAGATGCAGCCCATTACAGTTGCAAAAATTGCAATTTCACGACAATTACCACAAATTGGTTTCCTCAACTGCGACGACACCACAGAGATATATGCGCATACACACACACACACACACACACACACACACACATACTCGAACAGCATTCCCGACACTGTTCACATTTCGTGCTTTCCGCTTTACAATTATGCACAAATGAAATTCTCATAAAGTTGCAATGCCGAGCGGCGTGTAATTTTTGGTAACAACCAAGATGGCAACCAACAGCTCTCGGAACTGGGAGCTTGCAGGCTTTCCAGCATCTCTCGTTCGTAAGCGGCATTGTGAGTTCATCTGCTGCTGCCTTGCCATATGATGTCGTTAACTGTCTTAAGATTTATATGCGCAGTCAAAAGCGGAAACTGCACTTATGCGCCTCCTTCCCCGCCCACTGCCTCCATCTCTGTGTAAGCACGAGTATGCTCATATATTTCACTTCACACTTGAGACATCAACTTTTGTGTCAAGTTGCCCTGCTGCCCAAAATGTCGTCCTGTCCATATATATCTGACTATGTGTGAGTGGAAATGGTGTTGAAAAGTTTGTCATGCGAACATTTTTATAAGTATAATCTACTATCTTATGGCAGTTGTGCCAGTTGGCGAAGCACCAAGAAAGCCGAAATTGTATTCAATTTGTTGTGCAATTAAACTTGTAGGCAGGACGATTGTTTAATAAAAAAAACATTTAAAAAACTAGCACAACTTATTCAGTTTGAAGACACAAATTATTTTATATTTATAATTGAGTTAAAAGGTCATTTTTGACCAAAGCGGCATAACTGGTCTAGAAAATTGCTTCCCAATTGAAATATCCATATTACATGATATAATAATAATATAATATTGCTCAACTGATTTGAATTCATTTAAGCTAACTCGTTATACACTCTACTTTGTTCATTGAATACAAAAAGGAAACTCCTTTTTCTCTTTTTATAAGCACGAGTTAAATACACTTCTGCATACAATGTAGGCCATCAAAACAGCAAATGAAATGCTAGTTTACCCACTAATAATAAAATTGACATATTTCTTAGTTTCTAGGCTTAGTAATCTGCCAACATTCTGATCCTTCTATTCCTTTCAATGTCAATTATATGCGGGCCACTCTGTGATTATATTGTTGCTTTATGTGTGACATGAAGACCACAAACATATCTGTACAAATAAAGCATTTAAGTAATAATTTTAATAGAAATATTTATTTATTTAATATTTATATCCACCTTTCTTTAAAGCTATCAACGGCATAACAATGCTGCTTTCAAGCCAAAAAATTG